ATTTATTTCTATGAAAGCTTTGTTATGGAGGATGTATTATCTACATTAATTGTGTCATTTTTTCTTCTTTGAACTTGATTTGTTTGTCAATTCTCCCTCCTTTCTCATTTAGAAGAGTGTTCCTTTCATATTTGTGAAATTTCTTTTGATTTTTGAGGTTTTCACATGACCATTAAATTGTGTAGACTAATTATTTTTCATGAAGACACATCCCAATATTAACTCTCTTTTTTTATTTTTTTGTGATGTGCCCCACACATGTTAACACATGTGATGTCACTTGAAGTAGGGCCTAGTAAAACATGCAGATAAAATTATATTAAATTTCCAATAAATTATAAAAAATATGTTGGAGCATATCAAATTTACTTGGTCATTTTCAAGGGTCACTAAAATATTCAAGGTAGTGTGGTCTTTTCTCTCTTAATTTAATTTGTTTCTTTAATAATAGTTATTGGAATCATCAACATACTTAATTGTGTTGGTCACTAGATGGTTTGATAAATCAAGAGTAGTTTTAATTTTTTATTTTTCAAGTATAATAAATTTTATTTTATATATTAATATCATTTTTTTTTATCTATATTAGTGTATAGATATAAAAAAATGAAGAAAAATAAGCATATTGGATTTTGGAGTGATTTGATCAAACTATTTGGTTTATATCAATTTTTTAAGACTCCATCTTCATTCCATTATTTCACTACTATAATATACTTAATTTTATAATGATAGAGAACCTCTTACATCTCCACACTTTGCAAAGTACTAATGATTCACCTTAGAACCTAATCTCATTTTGATGTATCAATGATCGATGAAGTAGCTGCAAAGTGTTGGACTATGAGAAGGATTACTTGAGACTTGGAATGATATTCAAAATTTTTGAAATAATTAGATCTTGCCCTTGGATCTTAGAGACATGAGAGGAGGTGATGGAAAGGATGAATGTACGTTGAAGTATGTGTCACCATTTGAAAATCATGTATTTTCTCCTTGCCTTAATTTGAGCAAAATGTATCTTTTATGGGGTAGACTAGGCTCCCTCCTTTTCACCCTTATCGTGTTAAACAATTGAGTTCATGTAAACCTTAATGGGCCATACATATATTATAAAAAATATAAAAGAACAGTTGTAAACATTGAATAAATTATAACTATCTTAATACTTTCATTTTTAATGCATGGTTTTTAGCTATAGATTTCTCTTTTAATCCACTTTCTATTGGTTATTCCACATACTCTTTCTGTGACATATATTCCAAGATAAAAAATATTTTAATAAGAAAAGTTAAACTTCTAGACTATTTTATTTTTGCAAGAACATATTAATTTGTAATCTTGTAAAATCAATAACTAATCAATATTTTAATTATTTTTTAAAAAAATTTCATTTGACTCTTCATTAAAATACCTTAGTATTGGTTATCATTTGATTTTATTAGTAAAATCATTTAATGTTAAAAAATTTAGTATTAAGGCTTACACAGGATTTACCTCATATAGATTTTTTTTAATCTTTCTACCTGCACAATCATAACATTTGTATTCTTAATGAGAACTTGAAAATTAATAATATAATTTTATATGGTTTATGTCATTAATATATTAATAAGGTAGTTCTTCTAATAAACTCTTTAATCTCACCTAATACATCAATCTCTAATTAAATTTACATCTCATATTATCAATTTCATCATTTTATATTACTGTCTAGAAAACTTCAAAATCATAATGCAGCCATCTATAGCTCAAAAAATTCTATTATAATAATTTTGTATCAATCTAATTTTTTCATATGCTCTATTTATCATGAAAACATAATGAAATTCTAAAACCAATAGATACTCAAGGAAAAGAAGCTTCATTGTGTTATAATAAATTTTAAGATTTTTGTGTCAACTGAATTTAAGATGACATCACTGATCTAGATTTTAATTTTTTTTTAAAAATCATCTATATATTTCTTAATTTTGATTATTATATATAGTCTATATTTATATCTTTTTTTATGTAAAAAGAAAGGGATGAACTAGTGAAAGGGATAAAAAGCAAAGAAAAAGGTTTAGAGCCACCATCTCATGTATATAAAATTATCAAAGGAGTTGCTATGAAGTAAATTAATCTTGAACATCAATAAAGGAAGATGAAAGCATTATTGCTCAAGTCATTTAACCTCTCATCCTTGCAAAGCCTCCTCAATTATAAACTAGAAGATTCTACACCTTAAGAAATATCACATCAACAATCAATATTTCTTATTCTTGTTGTGTAATGGTGTGTTAATTGAAGTTTCAAAAACTTGTTTTAGTATAACAGTAATTTCTATGTTTTAGGATTCATAATATCACAAACTACAAGAGTTTCTTAGAAAAGTTTGAGTTTTGACCTCCTAAAGTCATAAATCTAGAAAAAAAAATCAAGGTGAAACTTTGATTGTGTTAGAACTATGAAATCTAGTAACTGATTCAAGCCTATAATTTAGTGTGAATTAATACTAAGAGTTAATTAAAAAAAAGATTAGTTACTTTAAGAGTGGACTAGGTTGAACATATTAAACTACTATGAATCTTATATTCTCTTTAAAATATTCCATGCTAGAGAAAGCTAGAAAATAAATCCATATTCTTAGTCACGTGCTGCTATTAAATCCAAAAAAAGTACACCTTTGATGTCATTTGTTGCTACAAGGTAGCTGAAATCATCACATGTTAATCACTATTAATTTTCAAAAATATCTCTTCAATATGATGATGATTTTGGAAATATTGTGATTGATAATGATAAATCTCTATGAGTTGTCAGTTAATTTAGATATATGGGCTGGAGGGCATAGTTTTGCAAGAAAAATGTGGAACTATAAATAATAAATTTTAATTTATAAAAATATATAATAATTAAAGGAAAAGAAGAATGTTATTTTTGAAGAACGATTGTACAATATGGTCTTGAGAAAGATGTAGTACTTGTAATACAACAAATGTTTTGACCCACAATAATGTATATGAAAATTAATGTTTATCAATTTCTATGTATACCAAGTTAGATGCACGATTTGTAAACTCAAAAGAAAATTTTGTATAACTATTAACAAGTAATATTGGAGAGATTATTGTTTGAAGTAAAAAATGTAGGCAATTTTTTTAAAAAAAGAGAGTATGTCATAAAATTTCATATTATTGTATGCTCAATATTACTAGAGATTAGGACCAACATAATTGAACAAAAAAAAATTAAAGAAAAATTGTACAAGGAGTATATCCTTAAATAATGTATTTTCAAGCACAAATTATGTTTATTTTGAGTTATGTTAGGACTATGCTTTTGGAGAAGAAAAGAGGTTTGGAGATGCATAAGAAAACAAACCCAAAATTTTAAAGTTTAGTTGCATAGATGTACATAATCCTTTCATGTCCATTCTTAATTTTCCTCATCTATAGAGGTTATAAGTAGAAAAAAGCAATTTTTTCAACATAAATCAAGGGTTTTATGTGCTTTTTATCCTTAAAAAATTGGAAACATATTAATTTTGAAATAAAATATTTGAAGGCTTTTATGTTGAAAGTAAGATCAAGAGGATTTAAATATTGTGGAAGGACACCATATGAAAGCTACTCAACATTGAGAAAGAATTGAACAATGATAAAGTCTAAGTGTATAATGAATATTGTCATTATTGATTTTTTTGCATATTTTTATACTGTGGTTGTGAATAATGTATGGCTGTTAATCATCATAATCACATTAGCTACTCTTCATAAAAATAATTGCATAAGGAAATATATTGGTTAAATTTGTTAATAATTATTTATCGGGTAAATTGTATTGTTAATGCTAGTGATGAATACAGTTCTTATAATTTGTTTTAAAAAGGCTATAAAAAAACAAAGAGGGGGGTTGACTTGATCTTTTTTAGAATCTCTAGCTTATTGTTTCTAATGAACAAGTGAAACTAAAAAATATAATGGTTTGCCCCACTATGCTCCCCTTGCCCCCTTCACTTTGTAAGAAACATACCATTAGATTCTTTGAACTTTTCTTCATACATCAACTAAAAAATAAATGCCTCAACCAGTGTTGTGCTAGATTTTATGGTTCTAACTGACCTACATAATTCTCCAAGACACTTCCCCTTGGTTCATTGCTCTAAAGGGTTCCATTAGATTAGTGCTAGTGTAATATTTTCTAGATTAATGGTTCCAGATCAGCTTGAGTAATATGAGTACTCAGATTTAAGAATAGAGCAATTAAATTATCTTACATGTTTGATTCATAGAAGTAGATGGACATTAACACAATAAGTAAATACTTCCAAGCTCAAGTTAAAGTCCTTGCACTTTTCTAATTTTGACTTTAAATGAATAAAACCATTTGGCATTATGCATTAATGATAATTTTATAATTATCACTAATCCATATAATTAGTCATTTGACATTTTGCATTGTGAATAAAATTATCATTATGCATTAATGATACTTGTATAATTATCTTTAATCCATAATTAGTCATTGAAAAATTAAAATTAAAAGGTGGTCAACTTTTTAATATAGTCCTTGGTAAAATTAATCCATTTCATTTAAGAAACTTTTAGAATTGAGAAGTTAGTGGAGGCAATAATCTCATGACCGGGTCTGAGAGGGCATATTTCTAAATAATCGATAATACAGTGAATAAAAGGAAACTTTAATATGACAACGTGTTAAAGGATTGACCTTGCTGAAGGCACGTGAGGACAAATTCCGAGTTCCTTCTTGGCTCAAGCAGATGGACCCCACCAACTGCCATGATCACCAAACCCAAAAACAAACCTCATATGATGACATATTTACCAAACTACCAAAGCTCACCTTCCCTGCATCTCGGTCCCCGTGCACTGGATTGACTCCTTCCAAAGGCAAAGGCCAATAATGATCCGCCACCTGGCCCCACCATTTATCCCCAACCCAAATAAGGAGCGACTGATCCACCTTCGTTCTCCTCCTCCCATTGAGATCCAACCATGGCCGATCCGCCGCCGCCGGCCTCCTCCGCCGGCGTCCGCCTGCTCGCCGTCTTCCTCCTCCTGGGGCTAGCCGTGGCGGAGGGGGAGGGGCCGCAGACGTACATCGTCCACGTCTCGCCGTCGCACAAGCCCGCCGGCTTCCCCACTCGCCGCCACTGGTACGCTTCCACCCTCGCCGGAGTTTCATCCTCCTCCTCCGTACCGGCGGCCCGCATCATCTACACCTACGACCGCGCCGCCACCGGATTCGCCGCCGTCCTGACGCCGTCGCAGGCGGAGGCCCTCCGCCGCCTCCCTGCTATCCTCGCCGTCGAGCCGGACAGGGCGCACCAGGTTCACACCACCCACACTCCCGTCTTCCTCGGCCTCTCCGAGGTCTCCGGTCTCTGGCCCAACTCCCAGTACGCCGACAACGTCGTGATCGGCGTCCTCGACACCGGGATCTGGCCGGAGAGGGGGAGCTTCTCCGACGAGGGCCTGTCGCCGGTGCCGTCCTCCTGGCGCGGCGTCTGTGAGGCCGGCGACGACTTCCCGGCCACCTCCTGCAACCGTAAGCTCATCGGCGCCCGTGCCTTCTACAAGGGCTACGTGTCCGCCAGGGGATACCCCATCGACGGGACGGTGGAATCGAAATCACCGCGGGACACGGAGGGCCATGGAACCCACACGGCGTCCACCGCCGCCGGCTCGACGGTCGCCGGAGCAGGGCTCTTCGGATACGCCGCCGGCGTGGCGAGAGGGATGGCGACCAAGGCGAGGATCGCCGTGTACAAGATCTGCTGGTCGCTGGGCTGCTTCGACTCCGACATACTCGCCGCCATGGATTCGGCGGTCTCCGACGGCGTCGACGTCATCTCCCTCTCCGTGGGGGCCAACGGGTACGCCCCCAACTACTACCGCGACTCCATCGCCATTGGAGCTTTCGGAGCCGTTAGCCATGGCGTGGTCGTCTCCTGCTCAGCGGGGAACTCCGGCCCGGGGGCCTTCACGGCGGTGAACATCGCCCCGTGGATCCTCACCGTGGGGGCCTCCTCCATCGACCGGGACTTCCCCGCCGACGCCGTGCTCGGCGACGGGAGCATTTACACGGGCGTCTCCCTCTACTCCGGCGATGGCCTGGGGGATGGCCAGCTCCCCCTCGTCTACGCCGGCGACTGCGGCAGCCGGCTGTGCATCAGTGGCCGCCTCGACCCGGAGAAGGTGGCCGGGAAGATCGTCCTCTGCGACCGGGGTTCTAACGCCCGGGTGGAGAAGGGCAGCGCCGTGAAGCTCGCCGGCGGCGCCGGCATGATCCTCGCCAACACCGACGACAGCGGCGAAGAGCTGGTGGCGGACGCCCACCTCGTTCCGGCCACCATGGTGGGGAAGAAAGCCGGCAACCAGATCCGCAACTACACGATTACTTCACCGGCGAGCCCAACGGCGACCATCCTCTTCCGAGGAACGGTGACGGGGCCCTCTCTGAGAGCTCCCAGCGTCGCCGCCTTCTCCTCCCGTGGCCCCAACATTCGGACGCAGGAGATCCTCAAACCAGACGTCATCGCCCCCGGGGTGAACATCCTCGCTTCCTGGACCGGCGCCGCCAGCCCCACCGACCTGGAGATCGATCCCCGGAGGGTTGACTTCAACATCATCTCTGGCACCTCCATGTCGTGTCCCCACGTCAGCGGGCTGGCGGCGCTCCTACGGAAGGCCTACCCCAACTGGAGCCCCGCCGCCATCAAATCCGCCCTCATGACCACCGCCTACAACGCCGACAACTCCGGCGGCGCCATCCTCGACCTCGCGACGGGGGGGGAGTCAACGCCGTTCGTCCGCGGTGCCGGCCACGTGGACCCCAACAGAGCCCTCGAGCCTGGGCTCGTCTACGACATCGACACCGCCGACTACGTCTCCTTCCTCTGCACCATCGGCTACAGCCCTCTGCAGATCGCCATCTTCGTCAAGGACCTGAGCGTCGACTGCTCCGGGAAGATAATGGCCAGCCCCGGTGACCTAAACTACCCGTCCTTCTCCATCGTCTTCGACTCGGTGAGCACGGTCGTCACCTACAGCAGGAAGGTGAGGAACGTCGGCGGGGAGACGGGGGAGGTGACCTATGAGGCGGAGGTCTCGCCGCCGGCGGGCGTGGAGATCAGCGTGAACCCTAGCAAGCTCGTGTTCAGCGGGAATAACCAGACCATCTCGTACACCGTTACCTTCTCCACCCAGCTCGATCCCGCGAGGGCTTCCCCATTGCGGGCGTTCGGATCCCTCGCGTGGAAGGACGGGGTTCACGTCGTCAGGAGCCCCATCGCCTTCCACTGGACCTCTGCGAAGCTGGACGCCTCCATGTGAGCGAGCTTCTGCAGATTTCAGAGACGGCAGGCAGGTATGGAGTCTGCAGGCCTATCCGATTTCCTTCTTTCTCTTGTTCTTTTCTATAGAAGATGGTTAGGGCATTCCAAGGATCGAACCTCCTCGCTCTTCTAGTAGATCTGCCTCCGGGGAGATGGCTCCCCAAGCTCCCTGTTCTTAGAATAATGAGCCCATCAGATCAAACTGGGGTCTTGGTGAATCTTGCTCCGCTTCCTGGTGGTGTACAGCATACTGACTGAGCGATATTACTTGCATTGCGTTCCTTCCAACCCATATTGCTCGGCTAGCAATCTGCTTCACCCCGCCATGAATGGCCGATTCGAGTTCTGCCCCAGACCAGGTATCTGAACGAATCGCCAGATCGACGAGGTATCCGACAAGAACACGCATTTTCCGGCGCTGCAGATGCCGCGCAGTCTGCAGAAACACGGTTTCTTGGTGGGTCAACCTCCTCTCCCTCACGGGCAACGAAAGGTTCACGCAGCCAACCATCGAGCCAGAGAGAGAGAGAGAGAGAGAGAGAGAGAGAGTCTCCAGCGATCTTTCGCTGAGATGTTAGCACTGCAAGAACACATCTTTTGGATCAGAATCCTCTTATTTTCTCTTACAAATACCATAGAGAGAGCTGTTGCGCAAGAGGGTGAGGGGGGGGGGGAGAGAGAGAGAGAGAGAGAGAGAGAGAGAGAGAGAGAGAGAGAGAGAGAGAGAGAGAGAGAGAGAGAGAGAGAGAGAGAGAGAGAGGAGAGAGGTCCAGTCACTTAGGTCTAATCTAAACATGTATATCTGACGTTTATAATAATTATTTAGCGTAGATGTTCTCGGAAAATTCAATAATGAGTAACAACAGGCCAATATATTTAATAATGGATTTATTTTGTATGTGTCAGAATTGGCACATTTAACGGTACGTTAACCTCATGCTGTCCGACAAAATCACAGAATTAATAGTATTTTTTTTTTGGATACTTAATAACTCATAGTGAGCGGAGGGGGCCACGGAAAGTCAACGGCGAGTGGGAGCCTTGTTCGCCGGTCAAACACAACAGAGGACATGCAGAATGATCGTACTGGTTAAGAAGAAGGTTGGATTCCCAGAGACGGAGAAGATCAGCGGACCTTCTTGTTCCATGAAACCGCCACCGGGCTCCTCACCTGGTACCGCCCGCTCTTCCAGGTGACCCACCCGAACGACGGCGCCTGCGGGCTCCGAACCTTCACGGGCGAAAACGAGACAGAGTACCTGAGCTTCTGCCCCACCCTGGTGAAGAGGAGCTTGGAGGGCTTCACCGTCACGGCGACGCTCACCGGCGCCGTGACCTCGACGGCGTACTCCGAGGCGGCCTCGCCGACGTTGGTGAGCTCCCTGGTGTAAGTGACGGCCGCCTTCCTCGATTCGCTGTTGAAGACGACGGAGAAGGAGGGGTAATTGAGGTCCCCGGGATCTCTGAATCTCCGGGAGCAGGTGAAGTTTGATCTCTTGGTGATCGCCTGAACTTGCCGGAGGCTGTATTTCAGGGAGCAGAGGAAGGCGACGTAGTCGTCGGCGGCGATGTCGTAGACGAGGCCCGGAGAGAGGGCCCTCCGTGGGTCAACGTGGCCGGAACCGTAGCCGTACGGGTCGGCGCCGCCGCCGCCGGCGGCATCCCGCAGGGGCGAACCCACGTTGTCAACTGTGTAGGCGGTGGTCATGAGGGCCGACTTGACGGCGGCGGGGCTCCACTCGGGGTGCGCCGCCTTCACCAGGGCAGCGATCCCGCTGACGTGAGGACACGACATGGACGTTCCTGCAATCATTCATTCGAACCCACGAAGAAATCAGTACGAAGGAGGAAGAGGAGGAGGAGATGGCAGGAGCGGCGGTGCTTGTTTACCGGACATGATGTTGAACTGAGATCGGCGGCGGTCTTTAGAGAGGCCGGTGGGGCCGACGGACCCTGACCAGGCGGCGAGGATGTTCACGCCGGGGCCGATGACGTCGGGCTTGAGGATCTGCGGCGTCACCCCGTTGGGTCCCCGGGAGCTGAAGGCCGCCACCACCGGCGATGGCCGCACGTTGAGCACAGTCCCCTGAAACTGCAGCAGCACCTTCGGGTTACGATCAAACTGGGCGTACTTCCTGATCAGGTCGCCGTTCTTCAACCCCACCGCCACCGCGGGGAGCAGGTGGCTGTCGGCGACGAGCTCCTCCCCGTTGGCTGCCGCATTGGCGAGGATCATCCCCACCCCTCCCGCCGCCTTCACCACCGCTCCCTTCTCCACCCGGGCGTTGACTCCGCGGTCGCAGAGCACCACCTTCCCTCGGACCTTTGCCGGAGAAAGCGTCCCCGGTAGGCAGAGGTTGCCGGAGGACCCGTTGCCCGCCGCCTTCCCTCCGGCGGAGCTCGCCGGAGGGTCGTACACCAGGGGCGCCATTCGAGATCCCATCCCGGGCCCGCTGTAGAGGGACACGCCGGCGTAGCGGGCGCCGCTGCCGAGGGCGGCCACCGCCGGGAAGTCCCTGTCGAGAGTTCCAGCTCCGACAGTGAGGATCCATGGGGCAGTGTTCGCTAGAGAGCCCTTCATCGGCCCGCTGTTCCCTGCGGAGCAGGAGACGAAGATGCCACGCTCCATCGCGGAGAACGCTCCGATGGCGATGGTATCGTGGAAGTAGGGGGCAGCGCCGCCGCCGAGGGAGAGGGAGAGGACGTCCACGCCGTCGGCGATGGCGCGGTCTATGCCGGCGAGGATGTCGGAGCCGAAGCACCCGCTCGCCCAGCAGACCTTGTACATGGCGACGCGCGCCGCCGTGGCCATCCCGCGGGCGGTGCCCGGAGCGTAGCCCAGGAGGCTGGCGTTCGCCACCGGCGAGCCCGCCGCCGTGGAGGAGGTGTGGGTTCCATGGCCGTCGCGGTCTCGAGGAGAAGCGTACTCCTTGGGCTTGTCTCCTCCCTCGTCGGCGGCCTCAGCGGCGGCGCGGTAGCCTCGGGAGAAGCTGCGGGCGCCGATGAGCTTGCGGTTGCAGAGAGAGGGGGCGAAGTCTACGCCGGCCTCGCAGGTGCCCCGCCACCGCCGGGGGATCTCGGGAATGCCGGCGTCGTCGAAGCTCCTACTTTCCGGCCAGACACCGGTGTCGAGGACGCCGATGATGACGTCCTTGGTGGCGGCTTCAGCGGCCTGGAGAAGGGAGGAGCCGTTCGGTGGAGGAGCGGAGGAGGGCCCGAGATTCAGGGGCTGAAGGAGGCCGAGAAACTCCGGCGAGTGAGTGGTGTGGAGGCGGAGGAGGGGATCGGGGTGGAGGTGGAGGACGGCGGGAGATGACCGGAGGAGGGGAAGGTGATCCGGGTGGAGGGAGGCGGCGAAACCCTGGAAGGCTAGAGAATAGCTGTAGAGGAGGTGCCGGCCGGGGTCGATGGAGAGGGACTGGAGGTGGGCGGCGTACCACTGAGCGTGGGTGGGGTGGATCTCCGGCTTGTGGCTCGGGTTCATGTGGACGATGAACGTCTGAAGAGAATCATCCTCTTTTCCCCCCCGCTGTTCCTGAAACCCTACCGAGACGACACCGGAAACAAAAGCAGGGAGAAGAAGAAGAAGAAGACGAAGGACAGAGCCGGCAGCCATGGGAGTGTTGGGGGCGAATGGGGGAGGGGGGGAGATTCAGGCGGGCATTTGGGGTGGGACTGAGCTGCCAGAAGGGGAGAGAGACGCCAGTGCCTGCGGGGAGGAAGAGTGCCAGAGGATACCTTTGCGTACAGTGGACTCAAGTCGACAGTTGCTCTGTCACTCAAAACTAGAGAGAGAGAGAGAGAGAGAGAGAGAGAGAGAGAGAGAGAGAGAGAGAGGGGTTGGAGGAAGAGCAAAACTCGTGTCAGAACCTACGCGGTGAGCACTGAACCTAACGTCAAGCTGAAGGTAGGAGGCGGGTGGGGGATCTTCGGACTTTGACCTATCACTCCTTTTTTATTTTATAAATTTATCTCCATACCCATTCCTTCCTTTTTAATATGTTCAACGGAAATAGATCTGTCACTTATTGCACGTGTAGGTATCGTACATCTGAGATTATCGCGTTTTCAGGGGCTAAACAATAATTATTGCAAAAAGTAGCCCTCTTCTGAAAAGTCGGCCAGCACCGCTCTCCACTCCTACTCTCCTCTAGCCTAGAGAGAGCACACCCCCCCCCTCCCCCACCCCCCTCATCCCACGTGGGTCATCAAACGCAGTCCCCGGCCGCAACGGCTAGCGTTGAAATGCGCCCCCCCCGCCCACCCTCCCCCCACCTTCGGCCGCCGTCCTCGGGCCCACTGGCTAGTTTTCCTGTCTCTCTCTCTCTCTCTCTCTCTCTCTCTCAGACTATCCGTTGTGGCTACCCTCCGCCATCAACGACGCTTTTAGCACTCTTTCCAAGGCAAAGTTCCGTCCCCTATGAAGTAGATATTCGTAGAATAGTAAGAACGAGCCGATCACTGCCTGTTAGGCACCGGAATGGGCCAGCCCACTAACACACAATCGGTTAATGAACCGTGAAGACAAGTCAGTAGAAGACGAATTCTCTAACCTCAGAATTTTCAAACACTCTGCAGCTTAAGCAGCAGCAGCAGAAGACGAATCACAGTCCCCCTAATCCATGACAAAATTGATGAAACTCAAACTCCAAATCGAGACTTATTTGACATAAGATTACAGCAACCAATGAAGGAATTTCCCTAATTTGGATACACAGCCGTACTACTTTCTATGTGGTCAGTGGAGGAGGCCATATCGGTGATGTGTATAATAACCACATACCTGCCTCAAGAAGACACTGCTAGTCAAAGGAAGGGTTTCAGAAGGCTTTTTCCCCTGTAGGAGATCTCTCAATTCTGTACCTGCTATCTCTCTCGCAACCACCCAAATTGGTGGAGCTCGGTGTGTAATCGGTCAACGAGGTGGGAGGTTATACAACGGGCTCGATCCAGTTCATTGCTGAGCTTCAACTTTCAGTGAAACGAGCTCGCTTGCTTGTTGCTGACTTTGGCGGCTGGGCAGATTTGGGAACCATCGCCGGCGGGTGCTCTCCTGGAGACACCTGGGGTCAACCAATGAAGACGCGTTACTCGCTCTTTAACTATTTACAGAGAAAAGATTTGTGGGGAGATTGAGCTGGGACCGCTGCGATCAGTAGGAGCCTTGGTGAGCTGGAACTTACAGATCGAGTCGTTCAGAGATGGCGCGCCGGACAGAGGAGTTGAGCCCATAAGCAATGGAATTGAACAGCCCCTGAAGAGGATGAGGGATGAAGGGGTTATGAAAGCAGTGTTTAGGCACGATCTACACTCAGTTCTCTTCCAGTAAATCCAAGCCACAGGAAGAGAATTATGAAAGCAGGGCGGATGAAGAAAATCGTACCATGAGGGCCGCAAGGCCAACATCCAGAACTGAGAGCCAGAAGAGTCTGTGACCTGGATTAATGAAATCATGGACACGGTTGATGGTACCAAATGCCCATGATCCAATCAGAATCAAAGGATAATAACCCCAGCGTTTTAGTGCCTACATAGAGAGAAGAATGTTGTACATCACAACAAAACAAGCAGCATTTTAGTTTTCCTAGATGAGATCCGAAAAAAGAATCTCAGTAGTAACCAAACTGCTTCTCAAAGATCGCAGTGTAGAACAATCGTTAGATCCCGGGTGGGTAGCATTATGTGAGTAGTATCTAAGTATTCTATCAATATTTACATTTTTATTTATTTATTTATCCCAACAACACTCCAATTTACGGAACATTGTCTGATTACCACATCATAGAATATTCAGTAATGATGAAAGCTCATTCAGTGTATGAAGGTCCCAGTGCTAAGAAGGAGAGTTACAACCAGCACGTACCTTCATGTCAGTCCGAGAGCCAAATTGATATGACTGGTCGGACATTCCCACTGCCATCTGCACAAAAGAAGTCTCCCAGGAATTAGCATTTTTAGTATCTCAGTTTTCTGAAAATTATACTCACTAAAACTGGAAAACATTTCCAGAAATAAATCACCATTCGGTCAAATATTGAAAGTCACCATTTCCAGAAATAAATCACCATGTTTAGTTACATATCGTTGTGCCATACTTAGCAGAGCCCATACCTGTGTCAGATTCTTTAGCGTGCGAATCACTTGGAAGTACGTAATTCCATTGTATAGAATTGCACCCCATAGCGGAATATAAAATGTTATGAAGTGAATTGCCTGCAATAACAAAAGACCGTAGAAACTTGAGCACATGGGTCCAGAACAATGAACCTAATTTGAATGTTACATGGATTAGATAACATTTTCTCTCAAAATTTCCCACTTATCTTTAAAAAAAAATAAAAGAATAAAGTTTGAAATGTAGAAGCTAGAAATAAAATGTCATTTACGCCGGCCTACCCACCGTTCCAACTGTCCGACAACTATTCAACTCAATCACCTATGCATGGGAAGTCCTCTTCCCAAATGTTATTGACGAGAAGCTGTATGCGTAAAAAAAGGCAATACTATTAAAATCCAATCTACATTGAATTACCCATATATTTTTCAAAGGCATGTATTCTACAAATTGACTAGTTTGCTTCCTTAGATGTAGAGTGAGGACAGTTCCAAAACTAAGGTTTCATGAATATGAAACCTCTGAGAGGGCATTTCAATATATACTGTAAGATAGTTCCTGAGAGGTGTCATCAACCACACAGCAAAAAATACTGCTCATCTCGTCAATCAATGCATAAAATTTAATAAAATCAATTCAGTATTGATCTGAGTTCCGGATTTTAGGAGGCTAGACTTTTCTAACTTGTTAAGAACAGCACCATTTGATGGCCTTGCAATCAAATGATGCAAAATTTCAACTTAAAACATATTCAACATGAACACAGCCCATAACTTTTTTTCCTAAATGCTAGAAAACAAATCAAAACGCAGATAATGATAGATAATGAGATACTGCCTTGGAAACACCAAGAATACATTCGATACGTTCTGGCATACAACTAATATATAATGAGATACTGCCTTGGAAACACCAAGAAAAGGGCAACCTTCGATACGTTCCACATTGACCCCTTCCTCATGTCATCAGTCACACAAACGCAGAATCTGGGTTCTATGTTGATTGGAAGTCTCAAAATACATTTCAAAGAAATCTATGAAATGAAATCAATGAGAGCATTGTCGAGATCCTATGATGATTAATTCAAAATTTTGGAATGTCACGGGATAATCAGGGATTCATCAGAAGTTTCCTTTGGCAGCATTAACGTAAAGATAATGATAATAAAAACATGCTTCAACTCAGAATCCCCCAAGGCATTTCTTCTTTAAAGGGTGGAAAAAGGTATTTATTAAGATTTCCTTCGCATACAGAATAATAGATCTACATACCTTTCCAGTGCGTGCCGTTTCTGTCCAACACCATGTCCCTAAGCGTCCGTAATCATTACCAATGGAGCGTACAACGGTCATAGCCAGTGAAGTACCTGCATAAATAAAGAATTGAGGAAGGTTTGTTAAAAACCAACGCTTCATAATTAAAGCATCATGTTGTTAATATTAGTCATATTAAAACATGACAGATATTAGAAAATCGAAATCTGAAAAATAAACAATAGAAACTTTGGTATTTTAGAAACAATTTTTTTCACTGGAATTACAAAACCATGCCAACGAGAAACTGACAACTACGTAAATACGATATCCAAGGCAAAAAAATTCTTTGGCATAAGTAGTAGATAACAGGCAGAGGGAGTACAATGGTAAGCAGCAATGTTTTGCAGGAACCTTCAAGAAAATATACCTATTGGGCAAGATCAAGCACAATTTAACATTGTTGAACCAAGAGCATTATTTATGTCAGAGGCAAATCTACGGAAAAGGAAAAAAAGGGTTGATGGATTTACAGTTTAATCAGCTTATCGCATCATTATAGATGGATATACTGCACACCATGTGAGTTCCTCTGAGTTTGGGGTCCTATAGCCTCATTAAAGGTCAGGATTCTTTTGTGGAACGTCTCATTAGGGAGACGTGACATTTTTGTAGATGATATCTAAACCTACAGTAGCTTATATGAGGATTCATTGGATCATTTATCCCTCAGACATGATCTGTCCTTGGAATCCCCCAGGAGTACAGAGAAGATAAGGACAAGCTGAGGTCAAGACCAGGATGACAGTAGAGAATCATCACTATACATTATCAGCTGTGACTCTTTAGGCAATCAAGAAAAAGAAGAGCAATTGAAGAATCGGAGGACATTCCTGCTTCGGAAAGAAGACACTAAACATCGTCTTTGATTATGGAAGAAACTGTCTAAGGTCCAGTAAGGGTTGACTGTATTCTCCTATTTGGAGGCTTGGGCGTTAGTGCATCTTCCACCACCTGTCACAGACTACAGGCTATTAAGATATCCATGAAATTTACCCAAGCATAAAGATAAATATCACCATTGCTACGTAATGTGCGTTGCTGGTCAGCCTATTTTTATGTGTATTATCATGTTTCTCACAGCTTAGATGGAAGAAAAATATCACCATTTTTGTTCTATAAGATACTAAAGTGGACGATTGACTCATTTCATACTACAAATAATCGCACAAAATCCTTTGACAAGACGGATTCCAAGATGACGGGCCTTCTCAGAGAAGATGACGAAATAAGGGGCGTCGACATCTGGGATATGATGGTGATAGGGTTTCTTTTTATTTCCAATATTGCGAATAATATGGATATTCTAGCTTCTTTTAGGACCATATGATTCAGTCAACTACATCAACAGTGCTCTGATCATCCTCTATTTCAAGTGAACTCGTCTGGAAGGAAATCATGTATCTCGTTGTCAGCATATTATGTACACTTTTGGCACGTTTCTTTATTTTTTTCCTTTGAAATAACCTTCATCTTGTGCTTAACATCTAATGATATCTTAAATTCCTGTGAACTAATTACAGAAAGAGGCATTCATAACCCATTAAAACCGGATGAATCCTACAATTGATTAAATTTAATGAAAAACCAAGAAGGTATGATATGGAATAAGATCACACAATGCCTACCCCAAACATACAAGTGAAAAAGTGATCCCAAATCTTCAACATCAGTCTTATGTCTAACAACAGTGCGATGAAGAGTGAATGCAATTGTCGTAGTCCACAGGAAAGATGCTACACAGAAGAAATGTGCACTATAGTCCTGAGCGTAGCAAAAAAATCCATTTGAAGGATCCCTGCAACAAGAGAAAGGAGTTAAGATCTTCAAAATTGCATGAGCGCCTATTCAAGATGCCAACATCAACGGAACACCCTCATTTGAATGTTTAACCAATTTTTATTGACATCCCAATTTCTCAACTCTAAGCATGAATGTAATATTCCCCCTTTTATTATGTGAACTATGATTTAGATAATAAAGAACAACTAAGCGTGAAATTTCTGCAATGGAGGAAACATTTCATGCCAAGAACGAGACACATCCATCTAGTAAACCAGTTTTCTATTATTCTTTTGTACTGCTTATGAACTTAAATATTGAAAAAACTGTATTCACCCAGAAAATTTAATAAGCAAAGACATACCCGACTATTGTGAAGAAACTGTAAAGCATGTCCTGCACCATGAACACAGCTTTATCAGAATGGAGACATTCAAGTAAGACTCAAAATCTTACTATATACATATTTCAGAGTACAGAGGCAAATGAAGTGCCAAATTTTTAATGTGAGACAGAGATCAATAGCAAAAGAAGACGACATAGTCCAAGATTCTTCAGCACCTAAAGAACGAATTATAATAGATAAAAAGTTACAAATAAGTTATCACAATCCCAGTAACAACATTGAGTAGAGCTTATTTTACTATAAACATATCCGGATTGGTAAAACTTAAGACTGTTTGGATTGCTAATTTTGCGTATGTGAGAAATCATAACAGTTTCTACTATACAAACTTGAATTCTATTATCGAGAGAAATGAAAATAGTGGCCGAAATGAATGGAATTAACTTATCAAGAATCATATGTGAGATTCCCAAGAAAATCTCATGGAACTGAGACTGACGACCACCATGGGGACACTAAAGGGATCTAAATCCTGGCTGCGTTATGCATGAATTATCAATCTGTTTGGTCGTAAGGAAAAAACATGCCCGTTCCCGCTGAATTCAAACACCCTCCCGCAACTAAATCATTATGAATGGAAACTGAGCTGCCAAATCACATGATCACTAGAGCTGTTGAGGTACAACATAGTATTTATGCCTGCTACAGGGAAATAAGAGCGCAATCTCTTTCTCCATTTGTCACCGAACTCAATTGAGAAACATATCCAGTCATCAACAACGAAAGTATGAACAGACAAACAAAAAAAAAACATCGCAGATTTTTTTTCAACAATCATAGATGTGCTCATCACAGGCTCATCTAAGCGGCCACTTTAAAATAAAATTCATAATTCACGAATATCGAGTTATAATCGCAACAGTTTGCACACAGTTAGATTGAAGCGACAGTAGATTGGGATGCTCATCGGCAGGATTCAGGAAGTAAGAATCGAGGAACGCAGTTGTCCGGGAAAGAAATCGAGGAGGAGAGAGAGGGGGAAAAGAAATCAGATATAACTCACCGAGAGAGCGAGAAAGAAGATGAGCGTGAAGGAGAATTTCCGGAGTTCCTTAAAAAGAAGGTAGCAAAGCACGATGAATGCCGAGCCCACGAGAGACAGCGTCGACGCGCTCAAGTTCACCGCCGCCAGAACCTTCCGGTCCCCCGCCGTCAGGCCTCCAGCTGCCGCCATCGCCGCGGCGATCTGGTCTCCTACGGAGGCGCCTTTACCAGACCAGATCTCCCTCAGATGCAGTAATGCCCACGAGACGACGCTCATTTCAGCATAACGACGACGCCGACAAAGCGGTTACCCCGTAGATGGGCCGAAGTCAGTGGAAAAGAACCTAATGGGCCTAATGCATCGTATCCCGTGGCCTATTTGTGGCCCATTAGTGAGGACCACCCCTTGGGGTAACCACCGGTCTAATTTATTTTTGGCCCGAGGCATCGTCAACGATTTAAGCACGTGCCATTATACAGGTCAACGGCCCCGAGGGAAAAGCCCAGACCATGGGCTGCGGGCCGGACCAGAGGCCCTGCAGCCGTCCATATGCCACGCCCCAGATTGCAGCGGGGCAGAGCCCTGATTCCGGGCTTTGAGCCCGGCCCAGCCCGTTGACGCCAATGCCATTGACTTTGAGTCGTCCCTCTCACAGCCCTGTTATAATTGATAGATCCCGGGAATCTTCCAGCCGGAGAATCCGGAAAATCCGGAAAATCGACGTGTGTTAGAGATGATTGATGACTCCAGTTAGGTAGGGGGCATATAATACGAACGTTGGGTAGGAGTTCCTCTCTGGCTTTCTCTGTTTGTTTGTCTCTGTCTGTCTCGATCGATGCAGCGTGGAGCACGTTTGCAGTGATAGCGTGGAGCACGTTTGCAATAATCCACTGAAAAGTGGTTCTATGTTTAGCAAAATTAGGGTACGAACGTCGGAAATCTTCCATACAGACGGGGAGGATGGACAGGAAAGAATGGGTTTTTATCTAAATCTAGGTGGGCGATGCACTCATCCATGGCCCCGTAATGAGAAGAAGGGGAACATTTTCTTCTTATGTACATCTGCCGGGGCAATTAGGCCGCCCTTCCGCGGATCTGACGGGGAGAGTTCATGTAGAGGGCGGTGTCGGTGTAGCTCGCCGACCTGTGGGACCGGTTTCTGTTCCTGCTTCCCTGGTTCTGATTGTGGCGATGGGGCGGTTGATTCCCGTTCTCTCGCGGCGGCTCCCTCTCTCGGTGCCTCTCCGCTTCGTCTCCCCGGGGGGTCGCCTTGCCGGCGTCGCCGCCGCCGTTCTGCGGCGCCGCCGTGTAGACGAAGGTGCCGGTGGGCTGGTCGTCGGCCAGCTCCAGGATGGGCTCCAGAGTCTCGATGATGGCCTTCATGGTAGGCCTGTTCTTGGGGGAGTTGCTCAGGCAGAGGGCGGCCAGCGCCGCCACCCTCTGCGCGCCCTTGGTGGAGTACTGCCCGTCGAGATTGGGGTCCATTATGCGGGAGAACCTCCGCGGGTCGTTCAGCCATGGCCGCGCCCACTCGACCAGGTTCTGCTCCCTGTTGGGCCTGCTCTTATCCACCGACCGCCGCCCGGAGAGCAGCTCCAGCAGCACCACGCCGAAGCTGTAGACGTCGCTCTTCGATGTCAGATGCCCTGCAACACGCGACGGACCCTCAGAGTCAGATCAAAATCCCGGCGACGAGGAGAGGTAGAGGCGAGGAGGAGGAAGAAGCTCACCGGTCATGATATACTCCGGCGCGGCGTAACCCTGCGTGCCCATCACGCGGGTCGATACGTGGGTGTTCTCCCCCTCGGGCCCGTCCTTGGCCAGGCCGAAGTCTGAAAGCTTGGCGGTGTAATCCTGCAGAAACAGAGAGAGTCGAAGACGATCGATCAGTTCCGCATTTCTACAAACAGGTGGTGGGCATTGTTTTGTCTACTATTTTCTCCCTATACGCAATCTGTGTGAGATGCCCTTCTAGGTTTTTTTTCTTCTTTGTCGGGTAGTAGCCACGCTGGCATCATCTGCACCCGATGGTCAAAGTTTGGCATTGACCGGACTGCAGAAGGTTTGCAACGGAGCGTCTTTCTTGATTGGCAGGGTGGAGCGGGAAGGAGAGGGGAAGGGGACTTACCGACTCGAGTAGGATGTTGGAAGCCTTGAAGTCGCGGTAGATGACCGGTTTCTCTGCTTCGTGGAGGAAGGTGAGGCCTTTGGCGGCGCCGACGGCGATCTTGATCCTCGTCTTCCATGGCAGCGATGCGAAGAACCCTGCGAGGAGACGAGATTTGGTCAGAACCAGATCATTATGCTGCGAATTTCGTGAGATTAGGATGTTTTTTAGGACGTCGGAGCCTACTTCTGAAGAGGTGGTTCTCCAAGCTTCCACGGGCCATGAACTCGTAGACGAGGAGCCTGTTCTCGTCCTCGCAGCAGTAGCCTATCAATTTCACCAGGTGCTTGTGCCTCAGTTGCCCGAGGAAGATCACCTCCGCCTGCGCAGAGGGAGAAGAAGGGTGAGCAAACGATAGACAGGATATAATCTCTCTCCATTCTGCGGATGTACACCGAATTGCGAAGCTTACCAGCCACTCCCGGTGACCCTGAAGGCCGTCCTGGTCCATGAGCTTAACGGCGACCGGCTGAGCCTTGAGCCCCGGCCGGAGCTTGTCGTCCACGTAGCCCTTGTAGACCTGACCGAAGCCGCCTTCTCCGATCAAGTGGCTGGTGGAGAAGTTCTGGGTCACCGCCTTTAGCTCGGCCACGGTGAAGGAGTAGATGTTGGAGCCGGCGAGCGACAGCGAGAGGTCCTCCGGCGAGAAAAGCGACGTCACGTTGCTCAAGTCGGAGGAGGAGAGCTGCTGGGGGGATCTTCCCCGTTGCGATTTCTGTCTGGTCGTCCTCTTCTCGTCTCTCCCCGGCGAGGGGCTGTCCCGGACCTTTCCGTAGCAGGAGAAGCAAGACCTCCACGACAGGCCATTCTTGCCCATCTTCCAGACCACAATTCGCAGAACCCAGAGGAGTAGCGAGATAGATCGAGAGAGACAGACAGAGAGAGAGAGAGACCGAAGAAGAAGAAGAAGAAGAAGAAGAAGAAGAAGAAGAAGAAGAAGAAGAGGGGTAGTTGTGTGACAGAAGAGGCCAGCGGCTTTATATAAAGCCATAAACTACGGACGATCCCCACATCTCTTACCAGCTAATCCACCGGAAAGAAGGAGATGTCCTAAGCGTCTCTTGACTTCGTCGACGATGTCAACCTCCGCCATCGCCACGCGTTTTCGCTGCCAGTTTCCCCTCCAAAGCGCCATTATTCTGCGCAACAACCCCCTAAACGCCAGCAGATCACCTGAATAATCACCTTCCGAGTCAAAAAAATAAAAATAAAACCCATAATTCACCCCGTAATTCCAGTTCCCCCCGCCCCACAGGAAAGAGGGGCGAGCCGCGTGGGAACGGAGGCCCCCTCGTCGACGGTGTTCGAGCTTGCCCTATCACGTGTCCTTGAGGACCGCGCGGATGGTGCAACAGGGAATAAAATAGACCACCTTCTAGAACTTGACCCATAAAAGTCGGCGCGGAAAATCCACACGCGCGAGGACATTCAAAGGATGCAGCCGGAGGCCCCGTCAGGGCTACTCTGTCTTTAGTTCGACGCGATGTCTAGGCCCTCGAATAGGCCGGGCCTAGACTGGGCTCCAGCTTACGTGGTCTGCCAGGTGGAAGGGGGATGCTGACCAGTGAAAAGTAGCATAGTCATCAATAAGTTTAAATATTTTGGTTTTATTCATTTATTTATGTAGGGCTGGAAACGGTGGGCAAGTTGACATTTCGTGTTCGAGTTTGGGCGCAGAAAAAAAAGGTAAAAATACGAGGGCGCTCCGCCGTATGAACGACAGCTGGAGGACAATCACCCGCTGTCTGAACGGGGGCGTCCGACCGGTCTTGGATCGACGCATCATTATCGATACTTTTCCTTAACCCAACTAACTACGGCTTTCTTTGATAAAAAAGCTACTTTTGACTCGAACAGGCGGGCCCGAATTTCTTCTGATCCCAATGGAAACCAAAGAAGGTTTGTCATCGACCCGGTCCCATCCGGGGGGGGTGTTAGTCTCCACTGCATCCGACCCGAAAGCTAAGAGAATTTGGCGCCATGTGGCATCCACACCCCTCTCTCTCTCTCTCTCTCTCTCTCTCTCTCTATCTCGTGCTTCCTGTGGAGCAGGTCTTGACACAGGTTATCAGGGTTAGCGGCGGAATACACTTCTTAGGCCCTTTTCGACTTCCGGGCTTGGGCTGACCTTGCAATGCCCTGGCCCGTTGACCGTAGAGCCCCCTTAGTCGTTGTTCTTGTCATCTTACTACAGTTTCGTAGAGGAATTATTAGTAGACAGAGAGGTTAATCAACGTAGTTAGGTGACGACCAAAATCTGCCTTAACGTGGGAAAGCTTGACTCGCTTATCTCCGCTTCCTCCTCCCCTCCATTTTCTAACCATTCGTCATGTTGGGTTCTGTCGGTTTGTATAGAAATCATCTTCACACTGACTTGAAGATTTCCATTTTGTCTGTTATTTTTATGGAATGATACATTTTTTTCTCATCTATGCGTCCGACCAGGACAAAAAAATGTGAAACCATCACGTTTGATCGGACATTTAACTGGAGAGCGTGGGGTTCCTGACGTTTAACGGGCAAAAGAATTCAAAGCCAATGCCATGGGCTTCTGGATGTCGGGGAGTCTCGCCGAGGTTCAGTACCCCCTACCTCCCTCCCTCTCTCTCTCCCCCCAACTTTCTCTCTCTTTCTCTCTCTCTCTCCTCCCCCACTCTCTCTCTCTCTCCCTTTCTCCCTCTCTCTCTCTCCCTCTCCCCTCTCTCTCTCTCTCTCCCCCCTCCCCGGGGAGGAGTTCCCCTATGGCTGAGTTCGCCTTCTGTAACCAAGGACTCTGTTCCTGTTGAAGAACCCTGGTAACACCTTCCCTTCGGGCATTCAATGCGTCCTCGCGAGGAGCTGGTCAGAGCACGAGGGTCGAAGCTCCTCTCTCTCTCTCATCACCAACCGCGCCACCCTCCCCCGCGGGGAGGGGTACTTTAATGCTGGAGGTCGCCTTCCCTTGGGGCACTGAAAGCGCCCTCGCGAGCGGCTGGTCAGAGCACGAGGGACGAAGCTCTGAAGAAGTCAGCTCGGAGTTTGACCATTCATCGAATATCATTATCTTCGACGTAGCAGTCAACTATTTTAAACTGTCTATATAGTTTAAAATCATTTATTAAGTTCCCCACGGGTTAGTCACCAGTGGGGTCGTGTTTAATTCTACGACCCTGTCATTTCCTAAACATACGCACGTATTACTGGAGCTGGAGCTGGGCATCATCTGCCATCCCCTCCCTGTCAACAGAGAAAGTCAAAGAGATATTTTCTGGATGGACGCCCCTTCCTGCCATGAAAGCTCGGAGAAGGGAGGAGAAGAACCTAGGATTGCAGAGACTCCTTGGGGGGGGTACTCCACATAAAGGACTCGCCTTTGATTTCGACTCAAGATATGGCGTCTGCTGAAGACCAGACGCGTCTCTCTGCCCACGCTCGTCCGATCTCCGGCCGTCGTTCTCCCTTGGAAGCTTCCTCCTCGGGCGGGGGAGACAACGAGAGGCAGACGAAAAGAGATGGTGCGTCATCTCCCGGAATTAACGGTCGTGTGATTGACCTCTCTCTCCTGTACGTGTACGTTTGCTCGTTCAAGAGAGAGAGAGAGAGAGAGAGAGAGAGAGAGAGAGAGAGAGAGAGAGAGAGAGAGAGAGAGAGAGAGAGAATGAGAATGAAAATGAGCTTTAGCATTCGAGGTTTTAAAAATTGCCAGGACGCTACATGAAAAACGGAAAGGATTGAATCATAATCTTACGGGTTATCCCATCTGATTCGAATTGTCAAACAAGCAATGAGCTCATGCTCCACGCGTGCACGTGCTGGAGAGAGCTGGCCCGACAGTGCCGGCCACGAGTCGCCGGTTGCGCCATGTCGGCGCCACGGGAAGCTTGTGGAGAGAGGAGGTTCGGACAAGTCAGATAGCCCATGAGCCGAGTCGGCGCCACGATCGAGTAGTCTAACCCTTGCCACATGGGGAAATCTATGCAGATAACGGAGCTCGTCTTTCCTCCGGCGGCGGCGCCGCCGATGGATGGTTTCAGAGCTCATCGTCCAGTGGCGTCGGCCACCAACTTCCCCGGAAGATTATGCTAATCTTCTTCTTTGTCGTGAACTGGATGGCATCCATACTCACGTCTCTCTCTCTCTCTCTCTTTCCCCCCCTCTCCCTGGAACTTGCAGACGACCTTACACCCATTCGTCTCTCTCTCTCTCTCTCTTTCTATCTCTAGATGCCAGGGCTGACCCCGCGTGATAACCCAACAGGGCAGATCTCTCTAGACAGGCTAAAGTCGGTTTGGCTACTGTATTTATTATCATCAGTAATATATTATCATTATTAATAAACGGTTGACTTGGGTTTTCTCTTGTACCGCGACGACATGCCCAATTTGATCCAATGGCGAGGAGACGCGTCTTGGCCGCCTGTTTGGACCGCCTCCAGGTCCCTGCGGAGACTCAGGAGACTGCCACGGAGCGGCCAGCTTGGCCCAGACGGATCGTTGGTCCTGGCCCAATAAAAACATGGGCCGAGACCTATTAAACGGTGCAAGGTCAGATGGGCTCTAGCCCAAATGCCTCCATGGGTCGAATCCCTTGTTGGTGATAAAATAAAATATAGAACTATATAGGGTTCTTGTTGTAAAAGTTAAAATGTATGATGAACTAATGAGAAATAGATGGAGACACCTTCAAGCTCGAGCCCAGAACGAGGAGAGTCCGTAGTCTTCAAATCTTTTCGGAGGCAAGCTTCTTCCTATGGGGTCTTCCCGCCCCCGCGGTGGAAGAATCTCGGCGCTTGGCGGCGCTCTCTTTCACCGTCGCTGAGCGCCTTCTGCTCCCTTCTCCCGGCCATGGATAACCCTAATTTTTATCACGACTTCCCGTTCGCTGTGAAGCGCGAGGCGGAGGAATTCCAGACGCGGCCCCGCATCCGCTGCGAGGGCTGCGGGGGCACCGACTTCGAGAGTGGAGATGACGGCTTCTTCTACTGCCGAGATTGCGGTGGCCAGAGCCAGGACATGCTGGAGACAGACTGTGCCGAGGATGACATGTTCGCCGAGACCGGGGCTCTGTACAACAATAAATATGTCCGCCACGGCCAATCCCAATCCCGGCCGCTGCCGTTGTCCCAATCGCAGTCGCAGTCGCTGTCGCAGGCCCGATCCAAGGCCGCCAAGGAGGAGATGCTCAGATCCCTTGCGAGGAACCTGGGAGGCCTCGGGAACGTCAAGGAGGAGAGGCCGCACGGATTTGATGACGAGTTTTCCCAGCCAATGGATTTTGGGAACGTTCCTTTCCCGGACGACAAGAGCCTGGCGGATGGGATCAGGCTGAGGTACGTGCAAGGGATGCAGCTGATGATACAGATGCAGTGTAAGGAGTTGGTAGAGCGGTTTGGTATGAGCCGTCTCATCTGTGGAATTGTGGGCGAGGTGTGGTTTAGGTACTTGGCATTGCGGAAGGTATTCGACGAGAGCTGGGCGGACAAGGCCATCTTGGAAGCCGAAGCAGCAGCCCGTGAACGTCATGGAAGCAGAGGTTAGGAGATTTTTTAACACCGTGCTTAAATCTTTGATGGTTTGAATTTTATTATATATATTTTTATCATCAAGTATTTGGGGCCTCAATGGGAGAGAAGAGGGAACCCGTGGTACATTTGATCATGAAGTGGGAGAGTGTGCGGAGAATATCATTTTAAATCATCCGAGTTGCTGGAGCAGTAAGAGTTGGGTTGGATGATATTCTCATTTGTTTCTTGAAATATACAGCTGTTGAAGTATTCTGATTCAGGTATAAGGGATGAGATTGAGCATGAGGCCAATGAGGAGGCGCATCTTGTTGTTGTCAAGAAGTATGGCGTATAATTGATTAGAAACAGTGCAAAGCATCGTCAATGTAACATAGGTTATATGATTGGGGGCTTGACTGTTGAAATTTTTGATAACTTTCGTACTTAGAAAAACTAATGGAACAGTTCTGTCTTAAGAAAAATCTTGTTATAGCATATGATCGATTTTTGTAAAACCCATGATAAGGCATTATCTGGTCGAAATTAAAAAAAGGGTTCCGGAAGGTTATTTAGACGTGGTTAATAATACAATGTATGACGGGTAGAGAAACTGTTGCTAGAATAAACTCTGCCACACGGAGTGGGAAGAAGTAGGAGAAGCCTCAACCAGAAGGTGAGCTTGCATGTGGGGGCTATTGAGGAAGATATCTTGCCTAACCTGGGGGAGTTGTTGCAGAACCATCAACATCCGTGCTCACCACTCTGTGTCCGTTCATTGGATGGATGGCAAGGAGATACTATTTTCCTATCAAGTTTCAGTATTATTCTTGATACTCCATTAGTTTTGGTGAGATTACAGACTATGATCCTTTAAGATGATTGCTCTTCTTCGATTTTGTGTGCTTTACTTCCTCTCTGATTTTTTGAAATTCAATTTAGTTATGGCCTTCTTTCATTTTTTTCTATGCATGTATATGTCTTTTTCTCCTTTGTTCTGTTTTAATTGTCAATGTTATTAGTTAAAGTTTTTTGGATCTTCAGTGTAGTACCCATAGATTTTCTGTCTTAAAATTATCTATTGTTTCTGATAATCTTTTCAGCCATATCATTTTATAATTTTCCTTGGAAGATCAATTCGTGATACATTATTTGTGTCAGTTTTTTTCTCTCGATACTCAAATAAGTTTTTTGGCTGCAGACCACATGATCCGCGGTAATGATGATTCAGATGCCCATTCTTTCTCCAGACGGAAGCCTGTGTTTGTTTGGGTCAGTTCTCTGCGAAGCATGATCCCAATACACTCATCCTTGGCTTTCACGTTCTTGGCTTGTCATATTGCGAGGGAACAAATTCTGCCAACTGACCTTGTGAATTGGGCTACCGAGGGAAAACTCCCTTACATCTCTGCTTTCTCTGATATTGAGAAGTCTCTTGGAAATCCTGGAGCTGGGTTCCCATTGAGCTCGAGGTTTCTATTTAGGCCTGTCTACACACCTGGAACATGGCAGATGGAAGCAACGGCTGGCTCAATTGCACATTGTGTAGGTTTGCACCTTCCTCCTGTGAATTTCTACGCCATTGCTCAACGGTATCTGAGGCAACTCTCTCTCCCACTGGAGAAAATTCTTCAGCATGCATGCCATATCTATGAGTGGTCAATGCCTGCTGAGCTGTGGCTGTCGGCGAATCCTTTCCAACTTCCGACTCGTGTCTGTGTGATGTCGATATTGATGATAGCAATAAGAATCTTGTATGAGATTCATGGGCATGGAGTTTGGGAGAAGAGTTTCTCTCCTTTGAAAAATCCATCTCCAAGTACTAAGAAGAAGGGGGATCTTGAGAATAAGTGCAACACTACTCATTCTCATGAAGAAAAGATCGACTCAGTATATGAAAAGGGCTCGACTCCTGCTCAAGCTCCCCAATTCGACACAATGGACCTCTTGTGTAAGCTCGAGGCAAAATACAACGACATGATGAATACTCCGGGTAAGTGCATATTTTTTTAATTTTTTTGCAGTTTCGTTGATGTCTTCCCTTTGGTGGTCGAGTTTTTCTAAGAAACAACGTATCTTGTAGCTGATAAATAAACTTGTTGGATAAATTATTGGAAAACCCATCTGCATGTAGCTATAGACAGTGGAGACGGAAAGAATGTAGTTGATAGGATACATTGAGCTGTGTTTTGGATGTCTCCTGAAGCCCATCTTGCCAGCAATATTAGATGAAGAATAGGAGAAGACCAGGGAATACATCTTTAACTTCCCACAATAACGAGGAGTTACATAAATGGTGAAAATTTCAGCCTTTTTTATCACCGGATTTTGCCAATAAAACACTTTGGAAAATTAAGCTCGTTCAAGAGTAAATGCTCCGGGGCACAGATTTCCTGGATATGATCAGATCAGTTGGAGGAGGCTTGAGGGTTGTGTACAGAAATGCTCTACTGTTGAAGCCGCCAAATGATCAGTTGGAATGCTAGACTATTGAAGTCTTCAAATGAGTACAAGAGATGCAGACTGGCCCTGGACTTCAGTGAGGTGGCCCAGCAGGACTCGCCTAGCCCATCGACACCCCCTGAACACATCCACCTGTTTCATTTTCGTAATTAATTCCCCCGTTTAATGAGCCGCGACCATATAATTGCATATACGCATATCTCAACATACCCACACTTTCTGCTTGTTCTCTCTTGTGAACCTTTCCTGCGGTTAACAGCTACCAAGAAGACTTTTTTTTTTTTTTTTCTTGGCTGATCTATGTGGGTTTGTAAAACGTGGATGATCATGCAAACTGATGCTCGCCCGTTTATGATGGCAGATCATTCCAGGGACTTCCGATCTTATCTGAAATACTGTAAAGATATTGTTTTTTCCGGGATGACCACGTCATATGAAGAGGAGAGATTGATAGAAGCGCTGTGGGATATATACGAGAAGCAAGAGGTAATGTCGCCAGATAAATCCCCTTTTCTATTCTGCTATTTGTTTAATTCTCTCTCTCTCTCTCTCTCGGATTGGCGCGTGTAGAGTGAGGTTGCGGGCTGTTCTCTCCAAGGCAGTGCTCCAGAGACCGAAGAACCTGGTGGGGGGTGCGATGGAAGCAGGAAGAGATCAAGAGACGAGGTGCAGCCATGAACATCCCCACCGCTTAGATAAACTTCTAGCCCCGAGTTTTTCCCTCAAAGAGTTGAGATTTTCAGGACAGCGGCGCAGCGGATGGAGCAATTCGCAGTGGCGGCAAGGGAAGATGGAGCCCGAAGGATGAGGGCGCCGCCGCATCCAATGGAGCCCCCCCAGCGGCGGGGAGAGAGGCGGCGCTGGCGAGGATGAGGCAGAACATGAAGGAGAACGGCTTCGAGTACCTCCCTCCGAGGACCCGGCGAAGGACCGACGACTATCTCCACTACAGGAGGAAGAAGATCGAGGGGAGGCTCCTCTTCGTGGCCCACGCCGACTACTTCATCCTGCTTCGCGCCTGCGCCAGGCTCGCCCAAGTCGACGCCCGGATCATGCACCTCGGCGTGCTGAAGCTCGAGCGGCGCCTGCGCTGGCTCGAGCGGCGGATCGGCCGCAGCCTTCTGGCGCTCCGCCGCGGACGCGAAGGAGCTTCCGCGGCGGTGGTGGCGGAGTCTGCTCCTCCGCCGCCGTGATCTCTCCTCCGTCGGGCTGGTCGAATTTCTCCTCTTCATTATTCATTAATTAATTAATTCATTCATTAGCCGGTGCGGCCGTGGTCCTCCGCCGTGGTGGCGGAGGAGCTTCCGCCGTTCTCTCCTGCGTCGGCCGGCCGAATTTCTTCTGCCTATTTCGTTCATTCATTCGCCGGTACTGGATCATCTGTCGGTTCGGATAGGCCCGAACAGATTCCAGTTCGGATCAGATCGGTTGATTCGGTCGACCTGAGAGACAAGCGTCATTCCTGGCAAATAGGGGGGATACCTGCTTATTAACGTCGTATCATTCTTTTCAGTCAACCCAAAGGGTTTGAATGGGCCGGCCCAATTATGCCATTAAAGCCAGGCTGAGATCATGATCGGCCCATCTTCTCTCTCTCTCTCTCTCTCTCTCTCTCTCTCACGGTGTTTAATGATCGGCGGTCGGATTCTCTGAATCTGGACAAAGCGACAGTCACCGCCTCCCTTATCGATGGCATTTCCGTAATAGCCTCTCAGAGAAAGGGGGGAATCTGTCAAGTGGGTGGGTCCCACAGGGAATCCCCCCCCCCCCCCCATCTCATCGGATTTTTTCTCAGACACAGTTTATGCTTTTTGGTAAATAATAGTCGGGGAATATTTCCGACGTGTGCCTATTATCAGCGACATATTATATTTTTATTAATTGGAGATAATCGAAGGGAGGGTATTTTAAATGCTTTAATCGGGTGCAGATATTTTGCTGAAATTATTTAATTAGATTACACCTTGATATTGACTTTTAAATTATAGTATTCGGGATTTTTTTTCCGGGGGCCCCACATTTTACGCCATCGTCTGCGTCACGATCGCCGTTTATTTGTGGGTAGTGGGTGCCACTCACGCCTCAGGAAAGGAGCCGTTCTCCGATCTACTGGGAGGAGGAGAGAAGACAGTCGAGGGGAGAGGAAGCCGCCGCAGACGAGAGAAGAAGAGATGGCTCCGCCGGCCGGCCGCTCCTCCGCCTCCCTCCTCGCCGCCGTCCTCTTCGTCCTCTGTGCCGTCACAAACGCAGGCGCCGGATCGTCGGCCTTCGATGCCGATAACGCGATCCGGTCCGTCACGGATCTGGCGGAGCTCTCCGCCTTCGAGTCCGCCTTTTTTCAGGCCGTCGGCAGCGCCCGGCACGCCCTCTCCTTCGTCCGATTTGTCCGCAGGTACCCCAACCCTGATCGCCGACGAGTCTTCCCCTTCCCATAGGCAGTTGTTTCTAACCCCATCCCCTCCCCCCGGGCACTGGCTCCGGCTGTCGCTGACGGTGACGGTGGTCAGGTACGGGAAGAGCTATGATTCGGCGGAGGAGATCCGGAGGCGGTTCTCGATCTTCGTGGACAACCTTCGCCTGATCCGCTCGAGCAATCGGAGGGGGAGATCGTACACCCTCGGCATCAACCGTGAGCTCTCTTTCCCCTTTCTACGATCGTATTATTCTCCTTTAATCCATCGAAACGGCCCTACCTACCATCTCCATCGTCTCGGCACCCGATTGGTCAACGAGGGAAGGTACCACTGCCGTTCGATGGTTTTTTTATTTCCATCCAGCTTTTTCTTACAGTCAGATTGATGCGACCCAGAATTCGCTGATATGACGTGGGACGAGTTCCAGGCTCACCGCCTTGGAGCCGCGCAGAACTGCTCCGCCACACTGAAGGGCAACCACAAGCTGACGGACGTGGTGCTCCCGGAGACGGTATGAATAGGCCTGTTTATCATCTGATCATCCGATCACCCTCCATGGGGGCCGAGGGCCAAAAAAATACGACGTTTCACACTTGAGCAGCAGCACTCTGTGAAGATCTCGTGCCACCTTATTTGTTTTGTGGACTGATCTTTCGTGCCGCGCAGGGAAAGGAAGAACTGAGAGCTCGAGTTTTATGTTTTTGCCTTTGCAGAAAGACTGGAGAGAGGAGGGCATAGTGAGCCCAGTTAAGAACCAGGGCCACTGCGGATCTTGCTGGACCTTCAGGTAACATGGTGTGATCTGTCGAACTTTTCAAAGAACATCTGGGTTTCATCCATCTACCTTTGATTCAGGATTTAAGCCCGTTTTCGCTCTCACTAAGCCAAGATTATGGGCCCGTCTCAGTTTTCCGTTGTGCAGGCTGCCGCTTCCTACCTTAAAATCCAGAATTTGTTTTTCCGGCAATAGTTTACTTGATAGTTAATATCTATCTCATCAAAATATGATGTCCTTCAAGAGCTAACTGGCGCTGTGCGCGGATTGGCAGTACAACTGGGGCGCTTGAGGCGGCGTACACGCAGTTGACGGGGAAGAGCATTTCTCTGTCTGAGCAGCAGCTGGTCGACTGCGCCACTTCATTCAACAACTTCGGCTGCAATGGCGGCCTGCCCTCCCAGGCTTTTGAATACATCAAGTACAACGGGGGTCTAGACACCGAAGCGTCCTACCCGTACGCGGGAGTCAACGGTTTCTGCAAGTTCAAGCAGGCAAACGTTGGCGTGAAGGTGGTCGATTCCGTCAACATCACTCTGGTGAGTGATTCATCCGTATATTCGTATGATTGCACATCCTAGTGCTCGAACGTTTGTGACGATTCCGTCAATATCTATCACAAGAGGCATATTTTTTTCCGCATAACTTCTTCATCACGTTGAAACAACTTCTAAAAGAATGCATTTTTTTCAGAAAGAAAGAAAGAAAAAATAAAATTCTTGCTTCCAGAGCCTTCTGCAACTTAATCTGATTAATCTCTTACTTGTTTCGTTCATTTTCAACGTTGTCAGGGTGCGGAGGATGAACTGAAGCATGCCGTCGCTCTCGTTCGCCCCGTGAGCATCGCATTCGAGGTGGTGAATGGTTTCAGATTCTACAAGAGTGGAGTATACACCAGCGACTCTTGCGGCAGTTCTCCGATGGTGAGTTCCCTGATATCTCCTCCCATAGAGGACGACGCCGCCCCCATCTTCCAAGGCCTTCCTCGAGAGCTCCATTAATGGCGGAAATCTGCGACTTGGGCATCTGAGTTTTCGATTTTTCCGATATTATCCGTCCCCATGAAACCAAGATCACGAAATCTTGTGCCGTTCAACGTGTTCTCTTGTATTCCGCAGGATGTGAACCACGCTGTTCTGGCAGTCGGGTACGGCGTGGAGGACGGCGTCCCCTACTGGCTCATCAAGAACTCCTGGGGGAACAGCTGGGGGGACAACGGGTACTTCAAGATGGAACTGGGCAAGAACATGTGCGGTATGTATCTCATCCACCCGAAGTTCAATCCCTAAGTTTAATGAAATAAATACGTCGATTAATCGCCTCACCTCCACCGGTTGACCTTTGACGCAGGCGTTGCTACTTGCGCTTCCTACCCAGTCGTCTCCGAGTAAGTAGGCAAGTGATTCCATAGGCCGGTGAGTGAGCTCAGGCCGTGATAATGTACATCATTGTGTGACTTCTCCTGTATCCTTATTAAATAATTGGACTGGATGATAGCTAATGCTCCGAGTTTGTCGGTTGATTTCGATTGGGGGAGTGGCGTTGACTTATCTCAGATCCGACCTTATTAGGACAAGACGATTCTGATATCTTCTGTTCACCGGGTCTGAACTGTCATGGTTTTTTGGACTCCTGGGGGGTGTGTGTGTGTGTGTGTGAGAGAGAGAGAGAGAGAGAGAGAGAGAGATGTACAGATTGGTTCGAACCCATAAAGAGTCGCTTCAAGCCTCGTGAAAGATTATCAAAACGCCAAACATGCCTTGAATCCGTGAGAGAGAATGGAACAAAACAGAACTGGGGTAAAATAATGTTTAAATAATTGAATTACAATAAAATCTTCTAGTGACATAAATAAAATAAAATATGCCAACAAAATCGCAAGTAGAAAATATTTCCCCGGAAATAGAGAAGATAGTAACGATAGGGACGAAATTCAAGGGTCTCCATGCGCCACAACTTTTGGAACCTATTACTTTCACCCTTCTGAATCTTACAGGCTAATTTGGGTCTCTTTCTCCGTTGTAGACAATACTTGCAGGGATCAGTTGCGTTAAATGATAAAGAGATGGTTTTGTTTGCTGGTAAGTCAACGACACAAACTGCCAGCCACACACTTCCATAATTTCTCCCGATTAGCTGTTATGCCTTTAGTGGTAATTACAAATGAAAAATGCCAACCTCTAAGTCATGAAATTGCACTTCTTCATTCTGATGAAATTATCTTTTAAAATGGTTAGTATGTCTATGAGTTTTAGAAGATGTTTTAAAAAAAATCAAGATCTTGTTAAAAGTTGAAAAAAAGGATCAATGAATGACTTTATTATCGTAATGCAAACTTCTATTTATCAATTGGACATATTTTAATTTAGCGGTATTCACTTTTCTAATCTATTTATGTTAGTTCTTTTGAATCATAAAGCACATCAGATATGTTTTCTAGTCATGAGATAAAACATGTGTTTTTTTGTAATTCTATTGATATCATGATTATCAACACTCACAATGTACTTTGATAACTAATTTGGTATAGTATTTTGTACACCATATTTTATATTTCTTTGGCATCAATATTGTGGTCGGTCCTTTTCTTTGTCTTTAGGTGTTGGGGCAAATCCCCTTTCTTAAAGGATGTTATTTGGGGTGTCTAAAGGTTGCCTTCAATGATTACTAATAATTGGAAATCAGACCATTTTCCATCACATCAACACCTTAAATAAAAAATTATAAAACTTATTATTATTTTAAAATTGATAGAAAAATCAGAATCTTATAATTTATTGTCATCATGCTTTTTTTAAAATTAGCTTTACAAGATTATACATGCCTATACTTGTACAAAAAATTAGGTCTATAATTTTTTTGAGTTATTTGGAATTAGATTTTCACTTACCTTTTGAAGCATGAGATCATTTCTCAATTAAATTCACAAACCCTGATTCACCATGATTTTGATCAAGCTTCTTTATTCAAATAGTTAATACATTCTATACCAAGTGGGTTGACTCACTTCCTACAAGAAAGCAAAAATTCTAAATTTGCAAATGAAAACTCTAAAATATTTTAAATACTTCATTAAGAAAATGTTTTTGATAGTTAAAAGTTACACAAAAATATTAAAAAAAATAAAATGTAAAATTACCATTGTACTCATATTGCATTTTCTTCACTATATGCTTAGACGTATTCTAAAGTGCATTAGCTCACTTCCTATGGTACTTCATATGGATCACTTTAAGCATTAAGACATTTTTAAGTACTTCATATGGTAACTAGGTTATTATAAGTGTTTGACTCATTTACTTCAATTGAGTTAACTCATTTACTTCATTTGTAACTTGGTCATTACAGGTGCTAGGACTCCTCTTACCAAGAAAGTAAGGACAAACCTTGTAAGCAATACATTATAAACACAAATTTGTTTTCTATGGATTAAAAATATGATATTATTAATAATTTATCTTTTAACTATATTTTAAATACAAAAGTATTACTATGCCTTTATGCCTTTTCATAGTGTCTGCCTCTATACTAGTCTATGAACTCATTCAACCAAGTGAATTTATTTATGAGTATATTCCCTTCTTAAAAATAGAAAGAGGCACATTGGGTTTTGCCAAAGTTATTTTGCCATTATATATATAAAACTTAATATGGTAGTTTACAACCATCATTTAAACCTGTTTATGTATATTGTGATCATTAAAATTATAAAGGCTCCAAAAGATAGTGTGAACAAGGCATAAGATTTTCTTTCTCTCTCAACATCTTAACGTGCAATATTGTTGATGTCAAGGACTTTATCAGTCAAAGGGAAAAACTTAAAATTTAAAATTTTTTAGATTCTTAATTTCTTAGTCTTACATGAATAGCATGCAACCAAGTAGCAATGCCAATGTGTAGCCTTATAATTTCTATGCTAAAAGTTCATATCCTTTTCTACTTTAACTTCATGTACTCAAAAAAATTGTTTAATCTTTGCTTGTAAATTTACACATTGTTAAATAAAGTATGAGATCTAAAAACTTTATTTCAGTATTCATGAATTTTCTTTTGGGTGCCATCATCCTCAGGTCTTCACATTGTTTGAATAGAAACCTCCAATGGTTATTAGTGCATATGAAAGCTTTCACAATCTAGCTGCTTGGATGGTGGATGAGGGTGGTAATTGCAAATAACCTATCTATGATCATTGTTGTTATCAATCATGTTATATTCGAATTAAGATTCTCATACTGAGATTCTCACTAGCAATTGTAAAAAGTGTGATACATATCATACACAATATGACAAGCATTATTTTGAAGCACAACAAAATCAACCCATATTTTATGAATGACTACTAATAGGGTAAAAATGGTATTTCAAAACATTCGTTTAATGTTATTTGACATGACAAGAGCTGAAGAGAAAAAAGCATGCTTAAGTCCGGAAGGAAGAATGAAAAAAGTTATAACTGATGCTAAATGTGGCATTTCTATAATAGGTTTTTCTTTAAAGAACATAACAAAGTTCTGAATGTCTACAAAAAATAAAATCTGTTAATGAAAATCGATGAAAGAAAAGATATCTTAGAAAAAGGAAAATAGCAATAGAGAGAGAGAGAGAGAGAGAGAGAGAGAGAGAGAGAGAGAGAGAGAGAGAGAGAGAGAGAGAGAGAGAGAATGTTCCTGTGTCCGTGTGTCGGCTGTAGCTTTCTGCATCACATTTCATGTTTTCAATCAGGAGAATATTTCCATCGTATTCCTTGTCGAATCAAAACCCAATTAAAATTTATTCCCACTTCATCATTTTCCAATATTTTCGTCGAGGAATTCCATAAAATGTAGCTAACCGCAGTCATCTGGGAGGCTACGCTGGAGCGTTCTTGTTGGAAGAGGTCCATTGGTCTGGGGAGAGGATAAAGAAGATGATGCTGGAAGGCCATGGATCTGGTGGAGCTCATCCTGTACCTCTGGGTCGTGTACTTATCCTGCTTCTTCATTTCCTATGTCTTTCTTCAGCTCATCCTGTTCATCAGATTGATTCTGGTGCTGTCCCTTGGTTCCTCGTTCCTCATAACGATCATTTTTGCTTGATTTTAGTTGAACCCGTAAGGATATCACCTGCTTCTTGAGATATCCGTCATCCTCTCCCTCTCGCCCCTTCTTTCCCCCTCCCTCTCCCTCTCCCCCTCTAAACCTGTAAATTTTCTCTTGAAGCTCCTCGTTTCCGATAGCTGCTAAGTCTCTATCCTTCTCTCTCGACGCCAGTGGTTTATGTCGTGGGGGCACCATGTTTCCCACAGTTTCCGAGTCTGCCCGCATTCTGTCTCTCTGTCTCTGTCTCTGTCTCTGTCTCACACACACACACACACACACACACACACACACACACACACACACACACACACACACACACACACACACAACACCAGTGGATTATGTATATCTTGGGTTTCCTTTCCCCACTGTTCTATATTTTTCTTTTTAGTAGATTTTGATGGCCATGATCGAGATGGAGAGAGCTCCTAAGATGTCTCAAAGGTATGTATACGCAACAAGTTTATCCCTCTGTTACTTTGAGATGTATGTAAACTTTCGAGATGTATACTGTTCGACCTCAAGATTTCACGCGCGGGGAAGGAAAGGAGAGTGGAAGCGGGGGCACTCAGAGAGAGAGAGAGAGAGGAGTAACTGTACCCCGCGTAACTTGGTCAAATCAACTTCAGACTGCATATAATTCGTCCGAAGACACGCGGTACATTATTATCGAGTGTCTTAGTTTAATCCCCTAAAGCTTAGTGGATTAAAAAATAAATCTAATATATTTCCAGTGCTACTACGAATTTTCTCCTGATTAACAACCATTCATAATAAGTTATTTGAAAAGACGGAATAGCCCTATAATTGATGTACAAGGCCAATCTCAAATTTAAAATTGTCATCCGTTACACTGATCTCAATAGGCCATAATAGAATGAACCAACAAATGGGATTGAACTTTGTTATATTTTTTCCCATCTTGAAATTATAGAACTCAGCTTACCAATATTTGCATATGCAACAACTCAGCTTTTCTGTGATTTAATTCATTCTAAACACCCATACTCCTAGTATTAAATTCCAATTTTCCTTTTGAGAAACGATCCCATTAGGCTTCATAGTGACAACTCATCACTAAGGCTAGCCTCAATAAATGAGAAATGTAATTCATACGTTGTAATGAGCTCCGTCCTCAATAAATAGTATTTGAATATTGTGAATGAGGAAGGGGGGAATTTTTTTGTGACATCTGAGAGCTTGGAGTGAGCTACCGATTTCAACTTTGGCTGTTGATAAAGAGCTGGGAAAATGATTTGAAAGGATGGGCTTTAGTATTGCGTTGATGTTCGTTGAGTGGGGGCGAACTAAGTTTTTTTTATTGGCTTTCAATCAATCATAATTCTACTATTTTTTTAACCTAGGTTAAATTTGAATAAGAAAGTCAGATGATGAGCTTTAAAATGAGCAATAGAAGCTTATTGCATGTATGTTTCGATTTACTTATGTTGAGATGTTTTTCTTTGTCATAAATTTGTGAACAATGTAAAATTCGTCAATTTTTCATATCATGTTACCATAATTTTTATATATATTTACTTTATTGACATTTAAATATAATCAAAGTAAATGTAAAAAAACTGGTTTTAAACCATCAAACCACTTGAAGGGGTTTGAGTATCCTTGAACCTCCAATCAAAATGGGGATAGTGTCAAGGCTAAACTCACTCCAACTCAATCCAATGCCTCAACTGTCACTCTCTCCCCCTTGATAGTACAAGTATAGGGTTCAACACCCTTCCTTAATTGTAATAACTATACAATAATGACTAACATCCTTGTTAATGTAACAGGGGAGAGAGTGGGTAGTCGTCCTCGCCAATTAGTGGAGCATGTGATGGTGACTCCTCTTTGAGATGCTCAAACAAAGAAAGGTTTGTTTAGAGGTTGACAACAACTCAAGTCTTCCTCAATTTGACACACTTTGGCAGCAATGTTGATGTTCCAGTCAATAATTCCGAGATAAATAGGAAGAGAAACATGATAGTTAGGAAGGGACGTGAGAGTCTCAATTGATGAAATTAATTATGGTATTGAGTGGTCAAGAGCACCAATCACCAGCTACATTGCATGAGCAAAATCCTAATCATAAGACTTGAATTACTCCAATGATATGCTTGAAAATGATAGACTCCTTAGTTTTTTGAGAAATTATTTTTCTATGCAAATAATTGATCATCTTGGTCAAGCTAATAATATTATATGAACACTTTTTGTTTCTAATGGTTTTATTATATTTTGCACAATTTACTTATGCATATCATTAGGAGGTATCTCCCCTCATAACTAAGATGATCATACATAGTTGAATTTGATGGAAGTCATCTAGCATACAATGCGTTTGATGAACACCCTAAGGTAAGGGCTGATTGCATAGCTTATTCCTCATATTGAAACAACCATAGGAAAATTATGCCTCCTAATGGATGCCCATGGGTGATATGCTATAATTAGTCAGACCAGTGTGAATTTGGATTTATAATGATCGTCTTTGTGCAAAGTATAAAACTGATAATAGAAGCCATCTTATTATGCTATAATTATTATGGCCATTAATAGATTGGGCATGTGTCCTACCAAAGTCAACCTAATGCTTTTTGTGAGGTTGTATGTATGCACCTATTTGAGATTAAGGGAGAGGAGACTGAAGAAAGGCGGGGCTGGACAACCACATATTGAGGTCTCTAGTAATCTAAGTTCCACTAGACAAAAGATCAAGCCACACGTACCTTTCTTTCCAAGCCTTTAAAAAAAAATATAAGGTCAACCCAATCCCTCAAGTTCCCACGTGGCAACCTTGCGAATCTTTTTTGTAGCATTTCGCCCATTAATAAAATAATTAATATTTTCTTAGTGTAAGTTATCGTGTAGTGATCTTAAGAGATTTTTGTAGGTCAACTGCTAAGTAATCATTCTTTGACCTTTTCTTAATGCCCCAAGTTGCAACCTTTGAGCAGAGTCAAAAGTCCTCTCCCTCGAGCCCATTTCTAAGACTTGAGGCTCTGACTCGTTGACACTCTAATCATCTTATTTAAAGTCAAAATTAAATACTTTTTAAACTGTGGATCATAATTAGCCATCTGTCAGTCGTAGAATTACCCGAATTAGACTACCCGTGGACTGCAGCTAGATTCAGATCCGCGGCCGGCCCGTCCTGACTGGTGGGAGAGGAGTCAACGCTGGCGGTTATCCTCCACGTGGAAGAAGTGGAGTGGCGGAGAAGATTCATAGAAAAGATCCCCCACGGTCTTTCTCCCGACCACTCGTCTCAAACGGGCCTGATGGCCATCGGCCAGTCGGTCCAGTCCGGTAACCGTCAAATGTTAGCGAGCCGAACGTACCCGGCGGCGGATCCGAGTCCCACGTCCGCTGGCTTCTGGATCCGACTGCCATGACGGCGCCACGTATGAGCACGGACTATACCTATCCAGTTCTCTCACGCCTCACCCGCCTTCAACGTGTCGAACGCGTGGGGGACGTTGAAGCCGCCAGAGGGGCACGTGGCGAAGGATGGTGTGGACGCTTGGAACGAGTCATGTGGGCCCCACGCCGCCGACACCGTCGGATCACATCGCGGCCGTGAAAGGTAGCATATGATTGGATTTTTTTTCTAAAGGCTGTAAGTAATATTCATTTTAATTTATTGTACAAAAATGCCTCTGGATAGGCGCGACGTGCGAGATCCAACGGCCCAGAATTGGTCGAGACGCTGGTCCGATCGATCGCCACGGTTAGTACCATTAAAGTGGGGGAATATCTGGGGGTAGTCTCGTCATTTCAATTACCGTACTCCCCTTCTGGCCGCGAAAGCAACAGCCGACGGCGGAGAGGAGCCCACGAGGAACCGTGCAGCCTGGTTCTTCCTCCGAGCGCAAGAAATCTCCTCGGCGACCTCGGGAGGGTAGGACCGGACGGGTGCTAGAGAGAGAAAGGGGGAGCGACGGAGAGAGAAGGAGGAGGAGGGGGAAGAACGCCGTGTCTTCTGTGGCCGTGGAGGTCACTCTTTCTTTCTTTCTCTCTCTCTAAATAGAACCTCCTTTGACTACGCCCCCTCCCTGGCGTCCGCCCAGAATTAGGGGTTCCTTCCACGCTTCTTCCGGCAGAGGCGGGCGCGTTCCGGAGCAGAGGTTTCCTCCCCCGACTGCCTTCAAGAACACGTGAACCTCGGTTCCTTCTACGGACTGTTGATTCGTCGGCTTGCCCCCTTGTCCTTCTCCTCCTAGGGTTTCAAAAGGGGAAGCCCGGATCCGGCGTCCTATCCTTTCTCCTCCAAAGCCAATCTGCCATTCCCAGGGCTGGAAAACCCACTCTTCGAGGTTGGGGAAATCTGAGACTACGATCGGAGCCGGTGTTTCGGGAGCGGCCCGGGTTTCGAGCTTGAATTTCTGCGCAGGAATTGGAATCTGAGGCTCGTGGGATCTGTTTGCCGTCCGCTTTCCGTCCTCCAGGCGCGAAGATGTCGGTTCCGGCGATCGCCCTGTATGCGAGCCCCCCTAGCACCGTCTGTTCTGCATCGCACCACGGCTGCCAGATCGCCGCTCACGGCTCCGCCGACTACGATCCCTTGAATTCGAGGACCGCGCCAGCGTCCACGTCGCCCTCGCCTGCCGTCCCAAGGCCGATTACCGGTGGACTCTCGTGTCTCTTCTCATCGCCGTCCGTCCGTCACGCGTCCGCCTCCTCTTCAAGCTTCACGGGGGGGGACGAACTCGGTTCTCTCTGGCACGACAGAACCGAAGAGATCGGGAGCTCATTCTCCTACTCTTCCTACTCTTCCTACCCTTCCTGTTTCAGGCACCGGGATCAGAGTCCCGTCTCGGTGTTCCAGGCTTCGGTGTCGTGCAGCAGCAGCAGTAGCTCATTGGCGGTTGGGTCCTCGAGAAGTCCCCAGTCCGTGCGGGTTGCTCGCGATTGGAGCACCTCCGATCTGAGGGCAGGGAGGGAGAGACTTTTCAGTAGCTTTGTCCGGAACGCGCTGGGTTCATGCCTAGACTATGACGCACCGAGTTTCCCAATGCCCGGCCACACCGTGCTCGACATAGACGATTTCTCCTTCGGCATGGAAGAGAGCCTTGACGAGAGCTGCGAGCCATATGCCAAGGAAATCCTCTCAAGGGCACAATCTAGGCACAAGATTTTCTATGACGAGTTTGTGCTGAAAGCTTTCTACGAAGCCGAGAAAGCTCACCGGGGACAGGTGATTACTCAAATTTCTGCCATATTTGCTTTAGAACTTACTTTCAGCAATGATTGCCATCTCCGTGAAATAGCATGATCAGGGGATTAATGTTGTTCCTCTGGTTTCTCTCTGTGGTTGTAGATGAGAGCAAGCGGAGATCCATACTTGCAGCATTGCGTGGAGACAGCTGTTTTGCTGGCGACTGTTGGCGCTAGTCCCACGGTTGTCGCTGCTGGGCTTCTGCACGATACCCTTGACGATTCTTTCATGAACTATGACTACATTTTCAGGACATTCGGAGCTAAAATTGCTGATCTTGTTGAAGGGGTACGCCTTGCTCTGCCTTGGAATTGTGTGGCCACGATATTTAGTTTGGAATAATCTTTCACATTTATGCATGCATTTTAGGTAACTTGATATTTGAGGACAGGACGGACCTTTTTGCTAGTTTTGACTCTGTTTTCCTTAATGAGAGAAAAAACTCATCTGCATTTGTGAACTGGATTGCATCACCTTATTTCTACGCGAGATTGTTCATCACATTCATATGATCAATGGCCCAGACACCTTATGTTTTCCTTCATGGATCTTAAAATCGTACTGTTCGGACAGTTCTCCTATCTGCTACTTTTGGTTGCAACACGATAGTGTTCTTTCTCAACCCTTCTTCATGGATCTGGGAGTGGAATTAGATCTAATTGGTCATGATGGAATCGTGGTATCTGTCAATGTCTGTATGATTTATCTGGGGCAGATGTGTGGTAACGTTGACCATCATAAATCTGAAATTTGTAACAATTTCTCTGTATTTCTCTGGATTTATACAGGTATCTAAACTGAGCCATCTAAGCAAACTCGCTCGGGAAAACAACACTGCTAACAAAACTGTGGAAGCAGACAGACTCCATACGATGTTTCTTGCTATGGCTGATGCGAGAGCAGTGCTGATAAAACTTGCTGACAGATTGCACAACATGATGACTTTGGATGCGCTGCCCATGGTCAAACAACAGAGATTTGCCAAAGAGACCTCAGAGATATTTGTTCCTTTGGCTAACCGGTTGGGGATCTCCAGTTGGAAGGAGCAGCTAGAAAATCTGTGCTTCAAGCACCTGAATCCAGAGAAGCATAGAGAGCTCTCTTCGAAGCTGCTCAAATCATTCGACGAAGCCATGATCTCGTCAGCTAAAGAGAGGCTAGAACGGGGTCTGAATGATCAGGGCATATCGTACCATGACTTGTCAGGACGACACAAGAGCTTGTTCAGTGTTTACTCCAAAATGTTAAAGTAAGCTCCTCTCTCTCTCTCTCTCTCTCTCTCTCTCTCTCTCTCTTCCATCTCGATCCCTCTTCCATGTCCACCTGCAATGACACCGTTTATCTCGTTGCAGGAAGAAGCTGACGATGAATGAAATACACGACATTAACGGGTTACGGCTGATCGTTGAGAACGAGGAGGATTGTTACAAAGCGCTGGAAATCGTTCATACGATATGGCCGAAGGTCACGGGGAAGCTCAAGGATTACATTACGCACCCCAAATTCAATGGGTATCTCCTCGCCCCGTCTTTAATCTGGCATTCGTTTCCCCTTTTATGCGCATCTGTTCACACCCAACGGTGGATCCCACTGCAGCTATCAGTCGCTTCACACGGTCGTCATGGGCCACGACATGGTCCCCCTGGAAGTCCAGATCAGGACCAAGGAGATGCACATGCAGGCGGAGTTCGGTTTCGCCGCCCACTGGAGGTACAAGGAGGGCGACTCCAAGCACTCCTCCTTCGTGCTCCAGATGGTGGAGTGGGCGAGATGGGTCCTGACGTGGCAGTGCGAGACGATGAGCCAAGACCGGGCGCCGTCCGTGGACGGCGCCGCCGGTTCTGTGCGGCCTCCCTGCCCCTTCCCTTCCCACTCCGACGACTGTCCATTCTCCTACAAGCCCCAGAGCGGCTACGACGGGCCTGTCTTCATCATCGCGCTGGAGAACGAGAAGGTGGGTCCCCTCTGCTCCGTCTCCGTCCGTCATCTGACCTAAAATTCATGAGGAGGCTCTCTCCCTCACCGAGTCGCACCGTCCCTCGGTCGCAGATGTCTGTACAAGAATTTCCGGCCAACTCGACGGTGGCGGATCTGCTGGAGCGAGTGGGACGGGAGAGCTCGAAGTGCGCTCCGTACAGCTTCTCCGTTAAGGAGGAACTGAGGCCGAGGCTGAACCGCCAGCCCGTCGGCGATCCCACCCAACGACTGAAGATGGGGGACGTGGTGGAGCTGTCGCCGGCGATACCTTACAGGTCGCTGACCGAGTACAGGGAGGAGATCCAGCGCATGTACGACCGGGGGCTCACCCTCTCCGGCAGCAGCAGCAGCAGCAACATCAGCTGGCGGAGCTGACACCCGCGGCCCACACCTCCGCAAAGCCAATTAATGTAATCCATTGATTAATTTGTATATAACGAACAAATTTGTGCAGCGTTTGTTGTTCTTCTGGCCGTCTCGTATGAGCCCGACTAACCGGGTCCTGTTCTTACTAAAAGCACCGCCGGGAGGGGGGGGGGTGGAGTTGGCGCTCTTCTTCTCCACCGCGGATCCCATGTAAAGGTCACTTTGTTCCTTCACACATCTTCCGTTGTTCTGGGTATATCTAATGGCTCTAGCTTAGATATCAATTGTGGACCACTTCGGAAGTTTGACAACGGATTAGAGAGAGAGAGAGAGAGAGAGAGAGAGAGAGAGAGAGAGAGAGAGAATAAATTATAACTTTGCATAAAGTATAAATCTGAATGCTAATACATCCAATTGACTGCATACTCAGCAAATTGTTGCGTCACTGAAACGGATTGGATATGTGATAAAATGGTCACTGAAAAATACTAGATTTCCATCTAACTCTATAATACTCTCCCAATGCAAAAGTGGAAACAAATTGGAATTCCATACTCCATGATTCCTGTAGGTAGAATATTTTCAGTGAAAAATAAATGAAAATAAAATTTCATCCTTATCCACAAGTAAAAAATAACATCCAAAAGTAGATTTCTCATCAGCATATGTATCTTTTTTTTTACTTTTGACTCTCATGTGTTTTGAAGATAAAGTTTATCCCATTTTATGATGCTAAGACAGTGGCGTCAACTAAAATATCTCTCTTTTCATGAAGCTGCTCTTTTTCATTGGATGGTAGATTAAGATCCCTTATTTGATTTCCATTAACTTTCTAATTTGGGCTAAAATTTGTATTTCAATGAATATTTAAATTTTTATCAACCATCTAATGGTTCATGTGAGGGAAGGACTAAGATTCTGGATTTGAAATGAATTAGAAACCATTCATTTATTCATTTGTTTATTAAATACGTTGTGTGGCTCACCTCTTATGCCACACGGCACAAGGAATGTCATCAAAAGTGGTTCAAGCATTGGCAATGGGAGCAATGAACAAAAAGCCAATGGGCACCGTGGGCCATCTAAGAGGGTCATTTTATTGGCATATAAAAAAAATGCATTCTCCCCCTTGTAGCCAAACAAGAGTGAATAGAAAAGGGGAGAGAGAGGGGAAGTACATTAGAAGGCATCTGCATAAGTTTTAGAGTGAGAAGGTGTTGCTTACCTTGTTGGAGAACATTGCTAGTCCTTCAAGTGGAGGGAGAGGGTTGCTGTTTGTTTGTCAGTTTTAGCAGGTGTGAAGTGTGTAATTTTCTCCATATCTAATAAAGTCTACCATTGTCATTGCAAGTGGATGTAGGAAACTAATTAAATTTCTAGTGTTGGTGTTTTTACTATGGGTTGATTATTCTTCTCTATCTTTACTTCATATCATGTGGATCAAGGGGACAACATTCTGTTACTGGGAGCTCTCATTTGATCCAACAAAGTAATATTAATGCTGTTGATTGAATTCTAATCAATATTCATTGTTAATGAAATAAGTCAACATTGACAATAAAGTTTGACATCAAAGTACTTGATAGAAAAAGAATTTCAATATTTAACAATTGAAGATGCAGTCATTATTGGTATGACAAAAGCCAAGCTAAAGACAATTAAGTTCTACTAGTTGAGTGGAAAGATAAATAAACATAAGAGAACATGGATCATGCTCTTGTTATAATTCATTTAAGTTTAGAAGATGATGTTTAACATATGACGTGATGTGGGAAGTTTCTAATGAAGACACTCTAGCAAAGTTTTGGCCTAATTTCAAGCCACTATTTATGAAAAAGTTTCTCACGAATCAATTGCACTTGAAGCAACAATTGTTCATTTTTCACACAAATTTGAATGAATTTACCAATATTATGCTCAATGCCGATTATTTGAATGAATTTACCAATATTGTTATAGATTCAAATAATATCGTTGTTAAAACCAATGATGAGGATCAAGTCTTCATATTGGAACAATTGTTCATTTTTCATATAAATTTGAATGAATTTACCAATATTATGCTCAATGCTGATTATTTGAATGAATTTACCAATATTATTATAGATTTGAATAATATCGATGTTAAAGCCAATGATGAGGATCAAGTCTTCATATTCATATATTTTTTAGCTTATTACTATGAGTATTTTATTAATACTTTGATAGAGAGATGATATCTTGATAGAAAATGTCAAAGTTTTCCTAAATTTTACAAAGTTGAAAATGAGGGTACTAAAGGTTCATGATGAAGATCAAATCAATGACTTAATGGTAAAAGTAGTGATATTGCAATATTATGATATAATAAAATCCTTATTATTATCATGATGATACAATCATAATCAAGGTATTGGTTGTCATCAGAACTCTAGAAGTGCAATATAATCTAAAATTGAAGAAGAGTCTGATTTCTTTGACTATTTCAACATTGCATAGATATCAACTTTTCATAGAAAATGGTAGCTTAAAAGTTTTGAAGAGTGTATTAATTGTGGTAAAAGAAAATTTGATTAGTGGCCTATTAGTGTGAAGATATAATGATTAGTTTTTATTATGACATATGTGGTGGAGTAATATGAGTGAAGTGATGTCTATTTGTTCATCAAAATACCATGAAACTAAATTTTTATGAGTATCTTGTGTTGGGGAAACAGTGAATAATTAGATTTAGTACAATTCACATGACCTAGGGTATTATAAATTGCATCCACTCTACCTTTTTAGGTATTACATCTACCTTGAAAGATAGTAAAAGTTATTTGATAACCTTTATTGATGACTTTTGAAGAAAGGTCTAAATTTATTTTTCTAAACAAAAATAATAATATGTTCATCACTTTCATGTAGTGAAAGATGTTGAATAATAGACTATCAAGAGAAAATTGTTTATGTATTGATAAATATATATAATTATGGTCAAAATTATTTGACAAATTTTTTAAGAGTGAAGACATTGTAGGGATATGACATGATGATATGAACATTACACCATAATGATGAATAAGATACTCTTCAAAAGAGTAAGACATATATTTATCTTAGATAGTCTATCTAATAATTTATGGGTAACTGCTGTCCACATAGCTTATTACTAAATGAGTATATTTTCATTTACATTCATATGGTAGAAAACTCCCAATAAGATATAGTCAAATTTTCTTTTGAATTATTATCATCTCATAACTTTTAGTTATCCTATCTAGGCATTTTTTTTGTTTGTTGTAGATTAGGTTGATAGATAAAACCGGTATTTTTATAGAGATACCATTATGTTGGGCAAGTCTTATAGATAGCAATTAGTCATAAAAGAGAACATTAAATTTATATAGAAGAACAAGACATAGAAGCTAGTGAAAGTATTGTGAGGTATAAGTTGGTCTTAGATAAAATGAAAGAAAATTTTTCTAGAAAAAATAAAGATTCAAGGCATGATTGGTAGTAAAAAGTTTTACACAATAAGAGGATATTGACTTTAGTGAGATATTTTCCCTTTTCATGAGAGATTTTTTTTGTATATTATTTACTAGTGTTGCTTTGTTTGATTTAGAGTTAGAATAATTGAATGTTAAGACACTAACATTACATTGTGAGCTAGGGACAAAACTCTACATGCACCAGCCATAGGGTTTTGTAGTTCTTAATGAGGAGTACTAAATGTACTGGTTGAGGATATTTTTTGTATGATTTGATGTAATTTATGAACTAATGGTATAAATTTTTCGATACATTTATGTTGAGTCACAATTCTGTTGTAAGTGATTATGATAATTGTGTGTATCACATTTATTTATTTATTTATTTATGACTGTGTGTTGATAATATGATGATTATTATTAAGAAAATGTTAGAAATTAATCAATTAAAATACCTTTTTTTAATTATCAAGAATATTAAAAATATATGTAAAGTTAATTGAGAGGTTGTAAATTGACTTCTTCATTGCTTTCAAGGTACTTCCATGTAAACTCAATATTTCAAATCATCATATTATCAAGTAAAATAATACTATATCATGTTAACTATATAATATCATGTAAAATAATGCTATTTCAAGTAAAATAATATCATGTTAGGAAAAATGGTGATGTGAGCCAATTGATTAACTATATAAAGTAAGATAATGCTAGTGATCTAAATAAGAAGATACCTCTCAAAATGTCATGTTTTTATTTTCTTGGTCTATATTATTAGTTGAAATATTGTTTAACAATCTCTTTTGAGTTTTTCAATGACAATGATAGAGTGAGTGAAAGAAGTTTTGTAATTTAAAGGTTTGGTTGCCTATCTAAGTCATATAGAAATGATTTTGATGTGCTGTAAGAACCCAATTGTCATTTACTTCACTAAAAAATAGATGTATCATAAGAAGATTAAACACATTGATGTGAGGCATCACTTACTTTGTGTTTTCATTTTGTATGATATAATTGTTGTAAAAAGTTTCATACAACAAAAAACCCATTAGACATGTTAAGGAAACATTATTTTAAAGAAGTTTAAGTATTGCTTAGACTTAGTTGAATTGTAAATCATGTGAGGATTATCTTGAGAAGGTCATTGTCAATTACAACAATCGTTATAGACTTTGGCACTAAATGTGACTTGAGAAGACAAGATAAGAGGAGAATTTATTGAGCCTAGCTCAACTCCCATGCCATGTGGTACACTGAGAGTTAATGGGTGTGGTGCATGAAGTACCAATGGATATGGCGTGTAGAATCAACATGTCCTTTGACAGGCATATAAAACGAGTCCTCCCCCTTGTGGTTAAGCAAGAGTAAATAGAAAATAGGAGAAAGAGAAAACATAGGAGAAGGCACATGTAAAAGTTATGGAGCAAGAAGGCATTGGTTATCATGTTGGAGAATGTTTTGGTCCTGCTTTTAGAGGGAGTTGCTATTTATCTGTCAACTATAGGAGAAGTGTCACCTATTTTTCAGTGCAAGAAGGCATCAAGTTTGTGTAAT